ATTGCCAAAGGCTCTTTTGTGTGTATTTATGCAGGTTGGTGATGAAATACAAGAGTTGCTCCCTGAGGTTGGGACATAGTGGGGAATTGAACCAGAGACAAATTGAACATGAGAATAAAGTGCTAGCTGGACATGGTGGTGCATGCCTGTAATCCCAGCACAGGGGAGGTGGAAGCAGGAGAATCACAAGTTCCAGGCCAACCTGGCCCTCATAACAAGACTGTCTCAGAAAAAGTGTTTAGGGGTTGGAGGTGTAGCTTAGTAGCAAAACGTATGCTTAGCATGCAGGAATGCTGGATTCAATCCCTAGCACCCCAAAATTAAAGAATAAAGTACTTGATAATTTGAACTGGGAGCAAGAGTTGGCAGGGATTTCTTCTGTAAAGGACAATGAATAATGTGCCTTTCTGGGTGAACCAGAGAGGGACAAAAGTGGTTCATAAAGACAAGAATAAAGAGAGAGAAAGTTTTGGACACTGATATTTCAGAAACAATGATTTATCATCCATTGTATCATCTTCTCCCATATCACTCCACCCAGAGATCTTTTAGCTGAAAACTCTTTCAGGAAATAAGAAATAGAAAGGCAAAAAGACTAAATTAAAAACTACAGTAAGCTTCCCTGTACTCTTAATGTTAAGACACATGAGTGGTCTTAATAGTTAAGACACAAGGAACAAGAGACTATAATGCAGACGTTTTGACTATGCTAATGGATAGTGTTTTGAAGAAGTAACCCTTATTTTTTCCAAAAGGTCCCCATAACCTAGAAGGCCTTTAATTCTCTTCATTCTCAGGCAAAATCCTGACAGATGACTTTGCAGACAAGGAAGGCCTGGAAATGGGTGATGAGTACTTTGCAAATCTGGATCATATAGAGAGCGTGGAGAACTTTAAAGAAGGATATGAGAGTGATGTTCCTTGTTCCTCTGACAGCAGTGGTGTAGACTTGAAGGACCAGGAAGATGGTAACAGTGGTACAGAGGACCCTGAAGAGTCCAATGATGATAGCTCAGATGATAACTTCTGTAAGGACGAGGACTTCAGCACCAGTTCAGTGTGGCGCAGCTATGCTACCCGAAGGCAGACTCGTGGCCAGAAGGAAAATGGACTATCTGAGACAGCTTCCAAGGACTCCCGTCCCCCGGACCTTGGGCCCCCACATATTCCTATCCCTCCCTCAATCTCTGGAGGGGGCTGCAATCCACCTTCCTCTGAAGAAACACCCAAGAATAAGGTAGCCTCTTGGTTGAGCTGCAATAGTGTCAGTGAAGGTGGATTTGCTGACTCTGATAGCCGTTCATCCTTCAAGACTGGTGAAGTTGGGGAGGGCCGGACTGGGGGAGGCCGAGGGGAGGCTGAGAAGGCCTCCACCTCAGGACTGGGCATCAAGGATGAAGGAGACATCAAGCAGGCCAAGAAAGAGGTAAGAAGTTACCTGAGAGCAGTGGCTTTTAACTTAGTTACAGTTAATACAGTCTCACCACAAGTGTGGTTTTTTGTTTTGTTTTGTTTTTAATGCTTGCTCTCTGCTAAAGTGGAGAAACAATTGATTTCAAAACCAAACACTTTAGTCCCAGCTTATTAGGGAGTTTGAGGGAAGATCACTTGAGCCTACAGTTGCAGCTTAGGATATGCATAATGATATCCTGTCTGAAACAAAAATAACAAGAATTGATTCAAATATATGTCTAACGACATTGGAAGTTCCCACGTTACAAGTATTGAAACTTGGGTCCATGTAAGAATGCGCTCATAGTATTCTTCCCATGAGCATTATGTCTCATCATTGGGAAGGGTTTAAAGCCCTGCCAAAGGAGATTCGTGATGCAGTAGTGATTTTTGCTGACAAATTACAGTGATTTCTTCATACGAGGTATGCAGGTACACTTGTGATAGTGTACCTCACTGACTTGACTAATGTATTTGAAAGTCATTTGAAACAAAGACAGTATACTGGAATTGTTACCTTAGACCATGAAAGAATTTATCTCTTGTTCTTTTCCAGGACTCTGATGACCGAAACAAAATATCAGTGTAAGTGTGTGTCTTTTTTGGTTTTTTTCTAAATTTTATTTATTTACTTATTTTGGTTGTACTGGGGTTTGAACTCAGTTACTTGAGCTTACCAGGCATGTGCTCTACCACTTGAACCATACCCCCAGCCCAGTGCTTATCTTTCTTCTTGACTTGTTTCCAAGTCTGCCTTCTCAAGCCAATGACCTGATCCCATCTCATTCCTTCTCATCCCATCAGAGTTACTGAAAGTTCTCGAAATTACAATTATAATCCTTCTCCCATGAAGCCTGAAGGACTTCGCCGCCCACCTAGTAAGACTAGTATGCATCAGAGCCGGCGACTCATGGCTTCGGCCCAGTCCAACCCTGATGTAAGTGACCTTCACAAGTTGTATCTTACCCACCCTTGTGCAAGTAAAGAAATCTGGAACAGTCTCACCTTCACTACAATTACTGTTAGGTCCCTTCCTTGCTTCTTTGGTCTTGACTTCCTACCTTGTTCTCTTTTATGCACTATATAATCCTCTTTTTTCTGGCAGTACTGGGGTTTGAACTTAGGGACTTTTACTTGTTGGACAGCGCTCTACCACTTGAACCACAGCACCAGCCCTAATCTTCTAGATTACAGCTTCAGCCCCTGTTGCCAAATCGTAGATAAAAGGACCTGAAACAGATTTTGCATTTACTCCCCTTCTCACCCTTCTGTCTCCCCAGGATGTCCTGACACTGTCCAGCAGCACAGAAAGTGAGGGGGAAAGTGGGAACAGCCGAAAGCCCACTGCTGGTCAGACTTCAGCCACAGCAGTTGACAGTGATGATATCCAGACCATCTCCTCTGGCTCTGAAGGGGATGAATTTGAGGACAAGAAGAACATGTCTGGTAGTGTGGAAAAACTTGGAGTGTGATAGGAAGAAACAGGAAGAAATTAGGGATCATTTTTAAAGGAAACTAACAGAGGGAGGAAAAATTTAGGTAAAATTTGAGGCATCTCTGGGTTGGTGTGGTGGCTCAAGTGCAAAGTGTGCCTGCCTAGCAAGCATAAGGTCCTGAGTTCAAACAGAACTCCTTCACCTCCACACACATTTAAAAAAAAGAACTGAGGCATCCCTGGGAGGGCTCCCTGACTATAAGCTAAGCTGTTAATACTGACATGTACCTTCCTCTCTTCTTTCCAGAATCTTCATCCAGCAGATCTATTCCTGCCTTTAAAAAATCCAGCATTTTAAGGCTGGAGGCATGGCTCAAGTGGTAGAGTGCCTGCCTAGCAAGCACAAGGTCCTGAGTTCAAACCCCAGCACCATCAAAAAAAAAAAAAAAAAAACTACCACTTAGGACCTCAGCATGAGACACTTATTAGTATTCTCAGGCTATAATGTGTGGGACAGAAATGAGAGTAGAAACCAGGCATGGTGGTGTATATCTATAATCCCAACACTCAGAAAACTGAGGCAAGAGGATTGTGAGTTTGAGGCCAGCCTATCCTAGTTTGTGATACCTTGTCTCAAAAAAAGGGGAGGAGGATAAGAGTGTCCAGTCATGAGTTGAGATGGGTCCTGACTCCATTCATCTTCCTTTTTCCTGTCTAGGTCCAATGAAGCGCCAGGTGGCAGTAAAATCAACCCGAGGCTTCGCTCTTAAATCAACCCATGGGATTGCCATCAAATCAACCAACATGGCCTCTGTGGACAAGGGGGAAAGTGCACCTGTTCGTAAGAACACACGCCAATTCTACGATGGTGAAGAGTCTTGCTACATCATTGACGCCAAGCTTGAAGGCAACCTGGGTCGCTACCTCAATGTAAGACTTCTTTTTCTCACCTCTAGATCTTGGGTTCTCCCATAGTCCTCACATTTCTACTTCTTTTAATACACTATATAAATCTAAACATTTCTTGTTATAAATTGATCTCAAAGACTCTTTTAAGAGGCAGCTTTCTTTCAAAACATCTCGCTATAGTAGGGAGGGTCATATGTCATCATTTTCTCCCAACTCTTACCCACAAAATCAGATTCTGTTTCCATGGTTCTGAGTCAATGCTGTATTTAACTTACAGCACAGTTGCAGCCCCAACCTGTTTGTCCAGAATGTCTTCGTGGATACCCATGATCTTCGCTTCCCTTGGGTGGCCTTCTTTGCCAGCAAGTAAGAGGGTCAGGAAAAGGGCAATTGGGAAGGGGTGAGGACCATTGAAATTCTAAGGGTGGCCTCTCCTAGTGGTCCATCTCCACATGCACACCCTAACCCAAGGTGCCTGTGCTGTCTACGCCTTCACCACACCCCATGCTTGCTTTCCTCTTCAGGAGAATCCGGGCTGGGACAGAACTTACTTGGGACTACAACTACGAAGTGGGCAGTGTGGAAGGCAAGGAGCTGCTCTGCTGTTGTGGAGCCATCGAATGCAGAGGCCGTCTTCTTTAGAGAGCCGCCTGCCTCACTTCAGAACCCTTCTTGAACTGTCCTTTTTCCTCAGGAACTGGTTCTTCCTGACTGTTAACTCTGACCCCAAGTCTGATCTAGCTACTCCCTAGCTCCTAAAGATAGAAATGGGGGTTTCTGGATCAGGAGAGCTCTTCCAATGTGGTGCTAGCAAGCAGGGTCCCTTCTTCACTTCCTAGGGCACTAGAGTGGGAAGAGATTACCACTCTTATCTCAGGCCTAACGTCCTTCCCATCCCATTTGTTCAAGTGTTCATGATCCCAGTAGACTATTCATAGAACAGGGGCTGTGTATCTACTATCCCTTGTTTGTATTGTTTCTTGAAAGTTTTTAACAAGATGGTAAAAACTTAAGATTGTGATTTGATTTCTCTCCCTCAGCCCCATACCTCCATCCTGGATCTTTAAATAAGAGATCTGTTCCCCCATCCTCCCCAGTGGGCAGTTACACCTTCTTTTTTTCTTACTTGCCATGTGAAATTTTAGAAAGGAAAGTGTTACATAACCGCAAGGAAGACATAAAACTATCTTAGTTTATTTAGTTGATCCCCTTTCTTAGTTCCTAATAGTCTGACACTTGTTGCCATGTTTTATTTAACCTTTAATATATTTTAATTAAAAAAAAGAAAAAAAACCATTAACAGTACATTTTGGTCTGAAATGGTCCCTCTGCTGAAATGCCAGGTGCTAGCTGTAATTCTGGCTTTAAAACCAAAACCCCAAATGTTTAATAAATAAAAATTAGAACTAGTTGCCATCTAGTCAACTATTCCAAACCAGCTAGTCTAGCTGAAGACGAGAAAGGGGAAGAGGCCAGAGAGAGATCTTGGACCTGTGGTTATAGGGACAGTGAGCAGAAAAGTAACACAAAGGCCATCTGAGCAGTTCTCAATATAGTCCCTATCTTTTGGCAGAGGTAGGGTATGGGTCACATATGTCCCCTCCTACACGCAATTCATTTGTGTCTTAGGAGAAAAAAGTTAAAATCAGCTCAGCTTTGGAGCATTGGTCCAACTTTGGCAGAATGAGGCCCTTAGATAGGATGATAAGGCACAACCCTGGCTCAAGGTCAGGGAGTCAAAGGCAAACAGCTAGGGCCAAATTCTCAAGAATAAGGAATGTGAATTATAATCTTTACCCGAGCTGAGGAAGGGTCTCAAAATTAATAGGATAATTTGGGGTATAGAGAGGAAAATAAGACCATCCCCTCTCTAACAGAATGTAACCAACCTCCTCTGTACCTGGGAATAGGCTGGTTAGAATTTGGTTTAAAGGCAACTGGATGACAAAGAAGTAAGGAGGGAAGACCAGAAGTCTCCTCTCCCGTTCTCCTTTCTCCCCAGAGCTTAAAGTGACCGTACAGGGGAAGTTGACTAGTTCCTTGGCTTTATGAATTAATGTGGGAGACAGCTGGAACCATGGTTCAGTCATTCTTACGATGGTTGTTATTGAGGATGGGGTGGCCGTTGGCTAGGGGCCGGCTCTTAGCCCCTCCCCCAGCTGCAGCCTCCTCCCCCTCTGAGCTCTCTGTTTCATCCCGGTCACTGCGTTCATCTTCTACCAGCTGTGGAAAAGGGATAAAAAGGATTACATGATACTCTCAAACTCCTGAGGACTGCCTCTCTCTGCAGGCTTGTCCCTGCTATCCCCAGAGCCTCACAGTTTTTTTTTAAAGGATTGTTGATATGACAAGGCATTTGGGGACTTCTAGAGTTGAGAGTAGTAAGGACTATAAAATAGGGACAGAGCGTTCACCTTTCCAGTTATGAACTTGTGGGCCATGCGCAAAATGAGGTAGGCCCAGAAGATATGTAGCGTCTGTAGCACTCCCATCATGACATTGAAGAAGTAGTAGCCGAAGAAGGCAGGATAGAGCTCCAGTGGGTACACCAGGGTACAATGCAGGATCCTGAAGAGTCAAGGGGAGAGACAAAATTGTAAATATAGACAAGAGGGGATAAAGATGGAGGGTAGATAAATGAGGGGAAGAAACACAAGACTTCTGTGTTCTTGAGAACAGGAGGATAGCCTGGCTGCCTACTTACCAGAAGGGCAGGATGACCAGTCGAGTGATGATGAACACAATGGCGAAGATAATGAAGATGTTGTTGCAGGTGTTTTTCCATCCAGCGTAGTTAAACATCTTGGCTGACTGCATAAATAGCCCCCATCCGTCGTCATGGGCTCCTGACTCTTCCCACATACACTCATACGGTTAGCAGCACTGCTCTGTGCCTCCCATTTTGGTCCCAGGAATGTCATTCCTCTCCTAACCCCCCCACCCCAACCAAGACAAAAGGCCTCTAGTTTGAGGAAGCCTGACCTCCAGCAAGTAGTCAGAAGAATCATGCAGAGCCATGATGAGAGTCCCTGCTCGGATGTAATTGGCAAACCAAGAGAAGCTGATGAGGATGATGGTGGCCACGTGATGGATGATCTGCTCCTTGAAATCCTGCAGAAAAGATTCAGACTCCAGGGAATTTTTTTCCTGTTCCCAAGCCGCCACTGTTCCTTGTTCCTTCCACTTGCCTATCGTTCTCCATTTCCCAGCAGCTACGTATGAGCCCCCAGAAGTCAAAGGAAAGGCTATTCACACCAGAGCCTCATTTGGCTCTCTTCACTCACCTTTCGCTTGACATCAGAGGCAATGCTGAAGAGCAGGGACCAGTAGAAGGAAAGTTCAATCATGTAGTACCAATACTGGGAAGGGATCATGCTCTGGGAGAGGAGAGAGTGGTAAGGGACTCTAGAGCAACTAGCCGTGAGGGACTCACCTCTCCACACCCAGCCCCTTAGAGTCCCTGCAGTTCTTAGTTCCATGACTCAGCTTCCCTGCTACATGTTCAGACTGCCATCTTTTCACAAGGATATGTCTTAGCCTACCTGTGTAAAGGGGCCTGTTTCATACCTGTATGGGATATCCCTCCCAAACTTTCCTCATGTCATAGAACCAGGGTTTCTGCAGAGAGATGGTGAGAGGTTAAAAAGAAGAAACACCCAAGGACTAAGGCCTCAACCCACCTTCCCAGAGAACAGACTCACTTCCCAATAATTCCCACTCACATCCACAATGACAGCCATCCCAGCAATGAAAGCAATCAGGTAAAATGTGAATCTCCAGCTGTAAGAGGAAAAAGAACTGCCTATGTAGGAGTATGTCATAAGCTCCCAAGTGACCTTAGCTATCCTCTGAAGATACCATCAGTAACTGAATTCACCTCTTCCTACATATGGCCACAACCTACCCCTCCGCAAGAAACATTAGACCTCCCTCTCCATCCAGTTTCATTTGCCCAAATTTCCCCACCTGGCTTCTCGAAACTTCTTGAGAAGACTGGGGCGGTCTTGGTTTCGGCGGCGGCGGAACCAGCGTTCTACCTGGCGGCCAGAAAGCCCACTTTGCCGGGACAAAAGCTCTACTTCTGCCTGTGTGCAATTAAGAAGTCATTACATTCAGCCTGAGAATCAGCAGCTCCCTCACTTTCCCAAGTTCTCCCAGTAATAACCTAAGCCAGTAACACACACACACACCCACCAAGGATAGCGTTCCAAATTCAAACTCAATCCCTTCCTTTCTCCTCCCCACCAGAACTCAGGAACTCTTAGAGCCACAGCAAAGTCTGCAATTCATACCTGCTTGGGCTGCTTGCCACTGGTCAGGTAGAAATGCTCCAAGATGGCATTGGGAGGTGCCCGCAGCCGAGTTTTCTCCTTTACGTTCAGGAGGGCAGCCAGTGGTGTAGCCACATAACTGGGGAAGGGACATGAAGGAAAGCTGCTGTCTAGCTCTCTTGGAGCATTCTCAGCCCCTAAGTTGGGATGAGAAAGGGCTGCAAGCTCAGGCAACTTTATTCTGGGCCTCAGTTTACCCAGTTTCCTGGCAACCCTCTTCTAGCCTCCTGGGCTGCCTGTAGCTCACAAAGCGGCCTGTGTTCAGTAGTGGCCAGGCAGGGTGGCCAGAGGAGGGTGAGAACAAATAACCATTGAAGGAAAGAGCCTGGGGGTGCTGAGCCCTCAGGAAAACAATGGTGCCCTGTTGGGGGGGGCAGGTTGTGGAACACAGTGGGCAGGGACCTGGGTAGCCAGAACAACAGGGTATAGGACTACATAGCAAGAGACATACGAAGTCCAAGAGACTGTGGCTGGCAACTGAGGAAGAGGTGAGGATAGGCTGGTATACTCACAGCTCAAAGAAGTAACGAATGATGAGGAACAGCAAGGCCAGGGGTAATGTAATATAGAGGTCTGAGGCTTTGGCATAGACACGTCCATCTCGGTCTTCTAGATCAGCCCAGGTTAAGTTCACAGGCAGCCACAGCCGTTCCCACCAGAAGTAATCATACAAAGTCTGGAGCATCCTGTGTGAGGAGAGGGGAGAGAGAGAGTGTTAGGGGCAGCTGTGGGGAAGGAGGAATGAAAGCTTTCTTGCTGTCAAAAGGAGCAGGGGCAAGTGACAAGCCCTCGTATTTGGTCTATGTGGCCTTGGAACAAATCAGTTTCCTCATCTGTAATATGGTGGCTTTCCAGTTCCAACATTTACTATTCATGGCAACCTCAGGTGATTCTAGCACCATAAAGGTCCTGATTCCTACAATAAGTAACCTTGTCTGAATGAAGATAATGCTCATTGCTATCATTTGAATAAAAGAAAAATGAAAGAACCTTGGGTTCTTCTCATCATTTTGCTCTCCCAACCTGGAAGACAGGAAGGATCTGGCTGAAGAAGCTATAGCCAGCAATTGAGTTAAGTAAGAAGCACCTTTTCTTCACCCTAGTCTCAAGCCAGCTCATAGCTAGAAGCTTCCCTGGAGCAGGGAGCAGGAGGAGAGCCCAAAAACAGATTACAGGGCTTAGACAAACACTTCCTTCATCAGGACAGCACATCCATAAGGGGAAAGAAAAAAAAAAAATGAGAAAGCCAGAGTAAGGCAAAAAAGTGTGTCCCCAAATAATGCTGACCTCCACAATAGTCTGTGAACATTAAACATCTGCACATAAGATTGATGCACATGCCAGGCCATTCCGTTCCTACACTTAAGGCAAAAGAAGTCTATCTGTACACCTCTTTTCAGAAAGTGAAGGCAAGAGCTACAGGAAACAAGGAGTTGGGAAATCCAGAGAGCAAACCAAGACATCTGGTGGAATTAAATTTTGTTTTGTTTTGTTTTCGATTTTTTTGAGAGAGAGCCTTGCTATGTAGCCAAGGCTTGCCCGGAACTCCCAATCTGTCTGCTCGGCCTCTTAAGTGCTGGGATTATAGATGGCACCACCATGACAGATGTGAGCTGTTTCTTACAAAGCCTCATTCAGATTGAATTCAACTATGATATGTTGTAAGAACTTGTGTAAATATCAGTGTATCTCCAGTACAACAGTAACAACAACAAAAAAGGTTCATTCAGAACGTAAAATACTAGTCTGCAGAGAAATACCCATCACAAACATCCCTCAACCCAGGAAAGACCTGCTGCTTTACACACCTCCCCTTTTTCCTCCACTGAAAGGTAAAGGAACAACACAGTGGCAGTGACCATTTGAACACCAGACAAGGAAGGCAGTTCATGGGAAGACAGCAGCCACTTGGAGCTGAGAGAAGCAGCAAGAAGGCCATGAAGAGGCAGTGCACTGGGTCCATCACAACACCTAGCAGTTCTAGGACTCAAGATGACCAGGGCAGTCTTTTCCAGCTCCCTGAAAGCCCCGTCCCTGTTCTCCCAAGCGGTAGAAGAGTGGTGCTAGACTGGTGTAGAAGCTGAAGGCAGAGCTGGGGAGGTTAAGAGCGGAGGGCTTGTCCATCATGAACAGAGGCAACAGAGACCAACTGGTAGTGCTGAAGGCAAGGCTGAACCCTCAGCCCACAGCTGAATGGGGCTGATCCTTCAGCTGCTCAGCTCCGCCCTCACCCTCCACAGAAGCACTTGCGAAATCCCTCTCAGCCTGTCACGGGTCAGTATTCCAGCTCAAGGACTTTACCCTCTTGTCCCACTCCTGGTCACTGCTCTCTAGGATGAAATCAGAGGTCAGCACTGACAATAAAGGAGCTTCAGCTCCACCTTCCACCACTCTTGTCCCGAATCACACTCACACACATTCCAGGCCTCTGCACCCACAGCACTGCCCCTTCCCCCTCCACCTTAGCCAGAATAAATATTTAATTAAAGAGATGGAAACCTTTTGAACTGAACAAAACTAAATACAATTGCCCACAGTGGAACTTTTCCTCACACAAACACATTTTCCTACTGAAAAGTAGCTAATTGAACAGAAAAGGGACGATGCAGAACCCTACATGTATCTGTACACCTCCCCCACTCCCCATTTTTTTTTTTTTTTTTTTTTACTTAACCTGATTGAAGGAGGGGAATTATATCTGACTACTATGTCTCTTGGGGCCCAGCTTTTCCTCCAATGAGACCTAAAGGCAAGGGTGCAGGCAGGCCTCAACCTTGTGCTCTTTCTCATCTACTTAGTGGAAACTAGCAGGGATGTTCCTCTGTCAGGGGCATGTTGGGGTTATGAACTTAGGGCTAGCTGAAGGCCTGAACGAGAAGGTAGAGCCTCTCTTCTAGACTCCTATAACCCAACAATGCCTTTCTTATCCCGACACAGACGGTGAGGAGCTGGGCAGTGGGTAAAGTAGGTATTCAAGAACAATTAAGGCAAGCACCTGTATAACCCATCTGTCTCAACCCCAAAGGATGGAAGACAAGCACGTGAGAGTGAGAGCGTGATGTGTCAGGAGTTCAGAGATGCAAATTAATGGCGGCTCTCTCACACCTGAGTTTCAGGCTTTCTGTGACCATAGCCCTCCCTTTCTGTTCTGGACTTCCATTAGCAGAGAAGCATTACTCCTGCCCAGCAGGGAAAGGCACCAGATTCAGCAGGGTCAGGGCTTCTGACTGATTAAGAGGGGAAGGATGACAACAGGAATTCCCAGCCAGCCTCACTTACACGTCCCCATAGAACCAAGGAGTCTGCTCCCTGTCGCAGCCCTGGTGGCTTCTTGGTATTAGCACACCAAGCTAAACAAAGCATCCCATCAACAAGAGACCTGGGCAAAAAAAAAAAAAAAAAGTGATGTGCACACAGGGTAGGGAGATGACTCTACCTTTCCTGCCTTCTCAGCCCTCAGGGCAGATTGTTGATTTTCTTGCAGGGAATAAAAATCACACCTATGCTTTTCCACTATTACACACATACACACACGTGAAGAGATATGGGGTGTGTCCATTGGTTTCTTTCTCCTTCACACATACCTGCCTGGAGACACAGATGCCACTTTCTGAAGCACAAGCTGGACAGAGGCCAGCAGAGCAGGGATTTCATGAACACTGGATTACTAGGAACTTGAGCAGGGCTCTGCCCAGTCCCAACCTTTGCCCCAACTCTGACTGCCCTCCCCAAGACCCTCCTAGGTGGATGAAAAGGGCCAGGAGACCCCCTCCCAGAGGGCTAGGAGGGCAGAAGTTCAGCCTATGAGGAAAAATATCTGACTCAATGTGGTAACAGTCCTAATGGCTCTCAAGAGTTTGGAGAAATAACTAAGAAAAATATTTTTTAAAAAAATATCTGAAAGGGCAGAGAGAGTTAAAAAAGAGAGGGTCTCACAGGCTCTCCGCTTCTGGGGAAGCCTGAGTAACTACAAAAAAAAAAAAAGTGGAAGGAGGAGTCCTGACTAGTCTTCCTTGTTGAAAACTTTATTTCAGGTTAACAGCAGCGGGTCATGAACTAGAAAGCTGCAAGCAATGGGTGAAGTCAAGAGGTGTGTCATTGCTTCAGGCTGCAGCAGAGGCCCAACAATTTGGGTCAGATTGTGGGAAGGATGGTGGGGAGGAGGAGAGGCATCAAGAACAGTGGTTCTCAGGCCTCATCTTACCTAGGAAGTCCCACCCAAAGCCCCTCACCCACCCAAACAATGCATGAAACTACATCCCCTAGGGGCAAAGAAAGGCCAACAGGTTGAAGGGACAGCTGGAGGTGCTGCTGAAGGGCACAATACAGGGAAAGTCAGCCTGTAGTCATGGCAGATTTTGCTTCTTCCCAGGGCAAAATCTGGCCAGAGGCCTCAGTAAGGAGAGAGAGGGGTGTGGGTACCAGGAAAAACAAGGATCTCTCTATCTTCTCTCTCTCTCTCTCTCTGAAAAGTATCTGTATAGGTCACTATGTGGTCAGGGCAAGTCCCAAGGGACAGAGCTGCAGACAAAACTTTACCCCTAAGAGCCCATCACAAGTGTAGTCAGCCACTCACATTCAAGCCCGGTAACCTCAACACTGGTAAGGGACAACAGCCTATCCCCTGCTCTAACACAGGTAGCTACCAGTGATTTACCTACTGAAGGCTTTTTTCTCATTCAGGTCTCTGGCAAGATGGGCTCACTTCATACCTCAGTATTCTCACAACCCCCTTGACTCAGGTGACAGGTTTTGATGTCAGGAGCCTGGCTTGGTCATAGAAACTCCCAAGCTCGGGCCAAAGATTAAAGCCACACACCTGCAGTTAACCCACTTGCCAGAGGGCCTCTGAGCTAGTAATTAGCAAGCTACAGTCAAAAAAGCCAGTTTTACCAGCTGCTCCCCAAGCTAACCACACACACCCCATAACGGTATAGGAGCCCTAGCCCAGGGGGGCCGGGACAGACACTCAGTGCCACTCCTTCCTGTTTTCCGTTAAGCACATGGACGCTCTGACCTCCTCCAGGGTGGGCACGGTAGGTGGTTAAGAAGAAAAAGCAGCAGATCCTCCTCTGCCCTTGCACTCTACCACAGGACCCATCCAGGCGGGGGCAAGCCCGCGGGCCCCTTGCCAGGCTGGGGGCTGTCGCGCGAATGGTCGTCAAGGTTTTCTCCTCCCCAACAAAAGGAAGCCTGTGGCTCAGGCCCCTTGGCAAGTAGTCCCAGCGTCCCCACTTCCCAGGCCCTACCTGTTGCCCAGAAGGGCCCCTCAGGGCCAGGGCAGCGAGTCCCAGAACGCAGACGCACCAGGCCAGCCTGCCCCGGGGCGGCGCTGGGGGCCCGGCCGCTCCCGCGAGGCGCTCGGCCCGCCCTCCCCCAGGCCCGCCGCCATGAGCGCGCCGGGCAGAGGCCCCCGGGCCGGCGGCTCCCTCCCGCTCGGCTAGTCTAGGGTATGCGCCCAGGGCCGTATCCCCTCGGCGGGCCCTCGTCGCCCCGCCGCGGCCCTGTGGGCGCAGCCGCGTCCAAGCGACCCCGGTTCTCCCAACTTTTCCGCAGCCCCTTCCTGCGCCCACCCTTGCGCGCCGCGCCTGGGGAGCAGGAACTGGGGTCCCGACTCACGCGGCGGTGGCGGCGTCGCGGTGCTGACTGGGCCGGCAGCTGCTGCTCCGTCTCTTCTGGTCCGAGCTCCGGGGCCCCCTCAGCACTGGCTCGGCCCAGTCCTCTCCTCCCCCTTCCGCCCGCCCGCGCGTCGGCCCGCTCCCTCCCTCCCTCCTTCCTCCTCCTCCTGCCGCCCGCCGAGCCCAGTCGAGCTGCGTCCGAACCCAGCCCGGGAGAGAAAGGCCGCGGGCAACTCCAGAGCCGGGAGACTGGGTGTGGGCCTGTGACTCGGAGAGTGGAAAGCCTGTGCGCGATGGCCGCTGCGCCCCCGCTCCCGCTCCTGCCTGCCGCCCCCTTCCCCGCCTAGGCGGGCCGCGGGATCCACAGGAACCGAGTCCTCGAAGTGTCAGACCCCGCGGCCGCGCCCACTGAAGTCCCCGATGGGGGCAGGCAGCGGATGAGCTCTTCGAGCACTTGGGTCTCTTGGTTGCAACCCCCTGCAACTCCCAGACAGACCCACGAGGTACCGAAGGACCCTGGGCCCCGAGCAGTGGCCCCACCCGCCCCCAATTGTGGTCGGCGACCTCAACCCGGCGGTGCGGCCCCCAGTTCCTCTGCCGGGCTGATTGCCACACTTCCCACCTCTAGCCCCACGGGGCAGCAGAGGGAGGAGGACGTGCGGTGTGGGCACCCAGCGGGCGCAGCCGGGGAATCCCGCCCGAGTGCCGCGTTCCCAGGCTGAAAACCTCTCATGGAGGGATCCAGGCAGCTGCGACCTGACCCTCCTCCCAATAAAACCCACAGCGTTTTCCACCCCAGTGCTGTAGAGCCTACAGCAGCTCACCCTTACTGGCGCGCACACACACACGCTACGGTGATCGAGTTTGAAAGAGCCACCCTCCAACTTTTGCAAAATGTACTTGAGTTTTCAATCTACACCATCCTTATCCACGGGCTATTTAGTATTAAAAACTATTTTCCTCTTAAATAGTCTGATGACATCGATATTTCAGGAAGATTGGCGTGGACAGGGCTTGACCAAGATGTACTTGGTGGTTTCTTTACAGGGAAAACTACAGCCTACTCCATATAGAGCTACTTTTATTTTCATTTATTATTTATTTACCTTAATGGTGTGTTTATGCTGTCACAGAATCTGTGACAGTGGCTTGTTTCATAATATATCTAATCAAGTCCTAGTGCTTTGGCAGTTCTCTTAGGGCTGGTATCACACCCCACCACCATCCCCATTCAGTTTGAGAGATAGTCTTCACCTAAGGCTCTTTTTGGAGGGGTAGGAAGACAGAAGCTGACTGATTTCCAACCTGTTTGTTCATTTGCTCATTGCAGTGGGACTCCTCTTCCACTTCCCTTCGCCAGCCCAGGCCACAACAGAAGAAATGTTGTCCTTTACAACACCCCGATGGGTCCTCCATCAGGTTATATATCCCTCCCCCCAGGAGACAAAGGAGAAGTAGATGGAGAAAGGAAAACTTGACCTCAACTGGCATTAGGACCATACTACACTTGCCCTGCCTTGGCTGGACCAGGAGATTATGATCACCACCCTTCTAACCCATCCCTCCCCCAAGGCTGGCATGGCCACGCCCACAGTGCCCCAAGTGTGGCCTGCATTGTAGTGACTCACTTCCTCTGTATAGGCTGCTGAGGTGTCCCAAAGCACAAGACAGGCCATGGGACCAGAGTTCATATATCTGAGTAGAATCCTAGGACAAACACATGAAGCCAAATTGTGAAAGGTGGGTCTATCCAAGACAGGGTGGCCTATACAACACAGAAGCGTTTTCAGATAAAGAGTAGAGCCTGGCTAGTCTCCGGACAGACTCAGGTTTCAGTTCTGGGGAGAAAAGTTTCCTAACAAGAAGTAAAATAGATCAGAGAAATCTTTGTGCATTCTGAAATCATACAATGCAAGTAACTGATAGAAAACCAATAGGGGCTTGAGCATTTGAAGAAGTGTTGGTGAGTCAACAGTTGAGGTGCTATATATTACTGCTTTGCCCCAGTATTCCACTAAGAAGGACTGCCAAATCAACCATAGTTCATCAAGGCATGAAAAATCAGTGAGAGGGAGTTAGGAGTCCTGGATCTGGTTCCAACTCCATGGCCTTAGGAAGTCACTCTCCTTCCTTGAATCAGTAATGAAGGGTGGTAGATTAAATCATCTCTAAACTGTCTGTCAACCCTGAAATCCTAAAATTTAGAGCACAGAGAGGAAGGTGATTCTGAAAACAACCTCAGTCTGTCCAAGGGTTGAATAAAAACAAAACCTAAGGATAAAAGAGGTAAGAGTTGATTGGAGGTGTGGCTCAACAGTAGAGAGCCTGAAGCCCTGTGTTCAAACCCTGCCCCACCAAAAAAAAAAAAAAAAAGAAAGGTTAGAGTCCACCTGAGTTTCAACAACCACACACATACTCCTCACACCTATAGGAAGAGGACTTCACTTCTGCCTCCTGTGTGCCTTCTCCAAATTCAAAGATCAGCTTGCAGTTCTGCCAGGAATCCCTTGGAGAGGTTTAGACTGGGCAAACAAGGCACCCTCACCCTCCCATCCCTTCCCCCTAAGCCTGCTTGGCACATGCAATCAAAATAGATTCTGGTGGCTTATGCCTGTAATCATACCTACTTGGGAAGCTGAGATTGGGAGGATCGCTGTTCGAGGCCAACCCAGACAAATAGTTAGCAAGACCCCATCTCCAAAATAATCAGAGTAAAATGATGCTGGAGGCATGGCTCAAGTACTAGAACACTACTTTGCAAGTGCAAGCCAAAAAAAAAAGGAGAGAGAGAGCGCTTCTGAAAGGTTTATTAGTCCAGGGCATGGGGTCTCTGACTGAAGCTGTCTGTGGTCACCCAGCATCACTGCAGTAAACCAGTATCCACATATGTCTAGAGGTCTGTCTCATTTCAGTGTTGTGAACAGATTTTCTACCTGAGGCTCTTTTCCTGACTCTACTTGTTCACCAAGTCCACCCAGGAACCTGATATCCTCAGGAGGCTGCACTTCTCAACAAGTGGACTGAGAGAGTGAGAGAGACCCTAGATAATCTGGGATTGGAGCAGAGACCTCAGCTGGCCACTAGAGGACTCCATATGTTCAGTGGTTGCTCATGCTCTCTTGTGGCCAGATGGGAGAATGGCAAGAGGAAGTTGCAGAAGAGAGCCAAAATTAAACTTCTTAGGGAGTCATGTAAAAATAACAGTTACCATTATAGAGTAAGATTATAACAATACTTATTGTTATATATTAATTTACATTTTAAGTGTTTACTTACTACACTGTACCCAGAACTTTTCTAAGTGCTTTATATGTGTTTGTGTGGGGAGGAGGATGTGTGGGGAGAACCCAGAGCCTCCCTCGTGCTAGGCAACCTCTCTACCATTCAGCTACATCCTCAGCCCTATATGTTGTTATTTAGTTTTTGATAACCTAGCGCATAAACACTTTTTTTTTTTTTTGGTGGTACTGCAGTTCAAACTCAAGTCCTGACGTTTGTTAGGCAGGCAAACTTGAGCCACTTGAGCCATGGGTTGGGTATTTTTTGAGATAGGGCCTTGTGAACTATTTGCCCAGGCTGGCTTCGATCAGCAATCCTCCAGATCTCTGTCTCCTGAGTAGATAGGATTACAGGCGTGAGCCACTGGTGCCCAGCCATAAACACTGTTATTATCTCTGTTTTGAAGATGAGGAAACTGAGCACTGAAAGTCTTAATTACTTGCCAGGTTCATGCAGAAAGCCAAAATTCTGATTTGAAGAAGTCTAGTTCCAAAAACTTTTGTTTTTTCCCTGGTGTGACCTGAGTTTGAGCTCAGGGATTTGTGTTTGCAAAGCAGGCACTTACCGCTTGTGCCACACCTCCAGTCCATTTTGCTCTGATTATTTTGGAGATGGGGAGGTCTCCCAATCTATTTGCCCAGGCTGGTCTCGAACTTCATTCCTCCTGATCTCAGCCTCTCAGGTAGGTAGGATTACAGGTGAGAGCCAGCAGAGTCTGGCTGGCTCCAGAACTTTTGCTTTTAGCCACCATGCTGAGACTGCATCCTATTTTGGGGGTTGCCAGGTAAAATACAGGACAATAAACAATAAATAATAAATAGCACAAGCATATTATATGAAATATTTTGGTCATACCTAATCCAACAAATTATTCATTGTTTATCTGAAATTCTAATTTACCTAGGTGTCCTATATTTGTGTTTACTTAATCTGACATCTCTAATTTACAAGACACTTTACTCTGCCATGTGCTATCACCCACATTACCTCATTCATTCCTCTTAGGAAATCTATCCTCAGATACCCCAGCATGTCTCCCCACCTCAACCTTTCCCAGTATTTCCAGTTACAGACCTGAAATGACTAGCTAAGCTTACAGAACATAACAAGTTGCAGAAGATATGGGGATTAAACCCATATCCTCAAATTCTAAAATTGGTGCATGTTTTCCATTTTAATGGGAAAGAAAAGTAGAAAGTACTTGCCATCACAGAAATCTCCCTTTATGGTGTTTCCCCAGGCTTGGTCTGCTTGTGGGGTGGCAGTGGAACAGCTGTTAACTCTCCTCCATGGATGTAGGAAAACCAAAGAGGGCCTTTCTGGGGTGGGAGAGTGGCAGAGGAGTGAAGACGGTACTCCAGTTTCAGGGCCCAGCCCCCACCTGGAAGGAGATTGCTTTCAACCCCTAGAGAGCCAGCTCTGAGGTTTGAGCGACTGCTCAGGGCCCCTGAGGCTCCATAGGACTGTTCACCTGCTGCTCTGTGCACTGACAGCCTCAAGCATGTGTGCTGGGTTTGCATCACCTGCAGCTAAAACAGTCAGGGAACCCTGGCAGCCAAAAGGCAACAGGAGTCCAAGACACTGGGGTCTAGAAAGGCTCCTCCTCCTCCTGCTGATTGCCTTTGGGAGTATAGTGCTATGCCTGCAGGGAACATCCTTTGCATTTTTCTCTCTTGACTCTGCTGATCTGTTCCCACCCACGATTGCCTATGTCCTTCCTTTTCACAGACATAAACAGTCCCCTTGTCTCCCCACCCAGGGTGGCTGGCTTCCATAAGGCTAGTCCTCAAGGAAGTTTCTGGGCTGGGACCCCCTTTAGGGTGCATGCTGGGGTGCCCTACTGGTATGTGCCCCAACAGGTTTTTCTCTATCAACCTTGAAATCAGCCCAGAGCCTGTCTGACCTGCCCCCCAGGGAGCTGGAGCCAGAGGCAAAGCCAGGTCAGAAGCTGGACTTAGAGACTAGGCTTCTGTGGTCCCACCTGGCCCCACAGGGAAAGCAAAGCACAAAGCCTCCTGTGTCCTCGGCTGAGCTGCTGAGAGACTGAGTGGAGTTCTCTTGCGTGGGTTAAGGCCCAGTTCCTGGGAGGAGAGATGCTAGCCAGGGAGGTGTTTGCATGTAGACTGGGTACAGCCTGGTCCTCTCCCACGTCTGGGAGGGGCCAGAGCCCAAAACAACAGCTGGGTTGGTCTGCAAGAGAGGTCATCTGACCAGCTGCTCAGCCTGGGCTGCCCACACCCCCTCTTTTCTACCAGGCTTTTACATCAGCTGGTGCCCACACAAGCAAACCACCAAGCCACGACGATACCTACCTCACCTCCAGCTCCTTTGGGTAAGTACCGGGCCTGGACCCTCTGTGGATTGCTTGGGGAAGGGAGAAATGTTTTTCTTTTCCAGTATGAGAGTGCCTGCCCTCCTGTCCAGGTATCCATGTCCCCTCAAGGACACATACATCAGCTCAGAGATTATACCTGTTGACCTGAAAACCCCAGCCTGAGATTCCTAGGGAGAAGGGCAGATAAGCAGGTAGGAAGGTTTACAGGAAGGAGTTAGGGGCTTGCCTATGGGAGAAGGGGTGTAGTCCAGAGCTATCTCCTAACCCATGTGCTTAATTAAGCTGCCTCACCTCAACTCCCCTGCAGTGTCCCTGAAGAACCCGGCTAGGCTGGGGAAGGAAGGGATATGGATCTCAGAAGAAGGCATCACCTCAGATGAAGGACTGAGGAACCTCCAGCCCAACCCTAGCATTGGAGGGTTGGTTGGTTGATGCAGGTTCTGGCAAGCTCCATGTTCGGTCTTTGCTTCCTAAGAGGGGTGACAGGTGGGGAAAGTGGGAACCTTCCTTTTACCCCTCCCATTCCTCTCTAGTTCAGGTTCCCAACCATGCTGAGCAGCTTGATGCTCTTCTTTTTCTGCACCTAGGGAAATGAATTCACAGTGGGAGCCCAGGCTCCAGGTCAAGGTCATCAGTAACCCTCTGTGGAAGATGGAAGATTTGCCTCAGTTAGCTTCTGTTTCCTTCCCTAGGGCAGTTGGTTGTACCATGTCTATAAGTAGTGAGACGATGGGACCCTCCCTGACCCAGGAGATCCTCAGCTACCTGGGCCTGGCCAATGAGGTAGGGGCAGATGAAATTTTAGGTATCTATTTGTTGGTTTGTTTGTTTATTATATGGGGATTCAATTCAGGGCCTTCAGCATGCTAGGTAAGTGCTCTACCACTGAGCTACAGCCCCAGCCCCAAGAAACATTTTTAATATGTCAATTTAGGGGCTGTGGGAGGATGGGAGAATAGAAAAGTAGAGAGAGAGCCAGCGCTGAGCTCTGCTGGGGCCTGGCTGGGGCAGACTGACAATACTCCTTTCTTATTGTACCCTGTTCCTACAGACAGCAGCTTGGGGGACTCTGGGCACCCTGAGGACCTTCTTAAGTTTCAGTGTGGACAAGGATGTACAGAGGCTGCTGAAGGCCATAACAGGTCAAGGTGAGCTTTTTCTCTACACTTAGGGTCTACCTTTTAGAAGCCAATCTGTAGACCAAAAAGGAGCCAGTAAGAAGCCAGAAAGGAATTAACAATGTTCAAGAAATATGCTAAAACCCAACACAAAAAAAGGCTGGTGGAGTGGCTCAAGTGTGGGTCCTAAGTTCAAACCCCAGTACTGCCCCACACCCAAAAAAAAACCAGCTATAGACAATATGTAAATGAATGTGTGTATATTCATGGATGCTAAAATTTCCATTTCCCATATATTTTACTTGTCCAAATTGTATCATATTTTACTTTTCTGGGGTTTGAACTCAGGGAATAAAAAATAAAAAAATAAAAAATAAAAAATAAAAGAAATATGCTGGGTGCCGGTGGCTCATGCCTATAATCCTAGCTACTCAGGAGGCAGAGACAAGGAGATTGTGGTTCAAAGCCAGCCCCAGGGAAATAGTTCCTGAGACCCTATCTTAAAAAATACCCACCCAGAGTATTGCTCCCGTTTCCTACATGGGGAACAGGAAATGTTTCTCTCTTTTTTCTTCTCCCCTCCACCTTGTCTATACTTTATCCTGTTATACTAAAATAAATCCTTGCTAAAACTTAAAAAAAAAAAAAAACCCAACCAAAAAAGGGTTGGCCGAGTGGCTCAAGCAGCAGAGCACCTGCCTAGAAAGCATGAGACCCAGAGTTCAAACCTCAGTGCTGCCAAAAAAAAAGGTCTATGGGCTGGGTGCTGGTGGTTCACACCTGTAATCCTAGGTACTCAGGAGGCAGAGATCAGGAAGACTGAGGTTCGAAGCCAGCCAGAGCAAATAGTTCGAGACCTATGTCAAAAAACCCACTCATTTAAAAAAGGGCTGGTGGAGGGCTCAAGATGTAGGCCCTGAGTTCAAATCCCAGTACCGCAAAAACAAGTTTGTTAAGTGGCTTAATACCTGTAAATCAAGTACCATGGTAGTGTGTCAACACACATTCTCACAACACCCTTGTGAAGTCAGGCTTATTGTTTCCAATTTACAGATGAGGAAACGTAGGCTCAGAGAAGTTAAGAGGCTTGCCCAATGTAACACAGCTCATAATAGCAGAGCTGGGATTCTAAACTAAATTAGCTAATCAAAAAAAAAAACCTTTCTTTCTTTCTTTCTTTCTTTCTTTCTTTCTTTCTTTCTTCTCTTTCTTTCTTCCTTCCATCCTTCCTTTCTCTCTTTCTCTTTATTCTTTCTCTCTCATTTTTTAATTTTTTATTTAGTGGTATTGGGACTTGAACTCAGGGCCTACACCTTGAGCTACTCTGCCAGACCTTTTTTTATAAAGGTTTTTTCAAAATAGAGTCTCTCGAACTATTTGCCCTGGCTTGCTTGGAACCTCAATCCTTCCGGCTTTTCTTTTCTTTCACCATCACGTCAGGCCATTCTTCCTTGAATTTGGGCCAGATTTCCATGCTGTCATGGCATTTTCTTTGCATCTTCTTTTGAGAGCAGATGGAAATGGGACTGAAGTAGCCCTGCTCTGTCCCCTCCCAGGCCTTTCCTAGACCTAATTCTCTCCTCTGAGGAATAGGGGGATCCCAACCCTGCAAAGACCCTGGATACAGCCTAGCCCTCAATTTGGTTCAGGTGTAGACCACAGTGCCATTGTGGACGTACTGACCAATCGGAGCAGAGAGCAAAGGCAGCTCATTTCTCGAGCCTTCCAGGAGCGCACTCAACAGGTGAGAGCACTCTGACATCACAGGAACAGTGAACCAAGTGAAGATCCCCTGGGGGGGCTGGGGGTTTAGTAGTACTGCCGGGGGCTTCAGCAGGCTTGAAAGAAAACCAACCAAATCTTCCACCACCCGCCCCCCCTCACTCTAACCACCCCACCCTCACCCCAACACCCCAGTGCTTCTAGAGACCTCCCCTGAGCACTGTGCCTCTGCCCTGGGGACCATTTATTGCAGGACCTGCTGAAGTCCCTGCAGGCGGCACTCTCTGGCAATCTGGAGAGGATTGTGGTGGCTCTGCTGCAGCCTACAGCGTACTTTGATGCCCAAGAACTAAAGACAGCCTTGAAGGTACCAGGAGAGGACACTGGCTGGGGTGTCTGGGGACTGAGGACACCACTGAGAGAAAAGGACTACCTGCCTGGCCTTTGCTCATTCTTGAGGGTGGACTTGGCAGAGACCCCTCTAGTCATCCCATATTGACCCTTAGATGCAGAAGGGACCAGTGTCTGCTCTCCGTCCCTCTGTCTGCCATCTTGCCGAGTTGATGACATGGTCCAGTCTCAGAGTGGCCTCCCAATTTCTTGTAGGGCTCAGGTTCTGCTAAGGATGTGGTCATGGAGATTCTTGCCACCAGAGCCCCATCTCGGCTGCAGGACTGCCTGACAGTCTACAAACACAGTAAGAATATGGGAGAGCTTCCCAAGAGCTGGAGAGGGAGCCACTCCTCTCCCACACTCCCTGCAGATGAGCCTTCTGGGAACCTGACTGACCAAGTTCGGTGCCCTTGGGGTCGATCCCCTGTCAGTGCCTCAGCTTTCCCAGGGGAGAGAGCCAGATGTGATCATTAAAGAAAAAGAAACAATGATTAAACAATCTTAGTCTGGGGCTCCGGGACAGATTCCGAGGTAATGACAATATTAGGTCCTGTAACAGTCCCAAAGGTACCCCAGTCACCTTCCCAGCCCCTTGCTGTCCCTGCCAGCTGTCCCTGCCATCACACCACATCCCAAGCTGAAGCTAGCCTTGCTTCAGCCTGGGGGAAAGGTGGAAATCTTCTAAGTCATGGGTGTCACCTATCAGGCCCACGCAGCTGGCTCCGCTTGGCTGCTACATGCCTCGCCCTCTAATTTGTCACTAGCTTTTCCCATCTTCATTTTAACACCACCACCACCCCTCTTTCTTCTTTCCCATGACTCCTTGACCACTTATCACCTTTTGGGACCTCCTGCAGTCCGTCCTTCACCCCCAATTTTCTTTTGATGTTTAATCTTGGCCCATATTCTTAGTTCCTTTCTCCCTTCTCCTGTTTTTCTTTTCTTTTTTTATGGTGCTAGGGATAGAACCCAGGGCCTCAGCACATGCTAAACAACATTTGAACCCTGGGCTACATCTTCAGTTCATGCTTTCCTTGTTTCCTTTTATTTTCCCCCCTTTCCTGCTCTTTCTCTACTTTATAAACTGCCTCCCATGTGATTTTTCCACATTTCCAATCATCACTGGAAACTGAATGACCAGGCCATGGCCATCTTCACGTTCCAGCTTTCCCTATCCCACCTTCACTTCTTGGTCACCACTCTAATAAATGGAGTCCGCCTGATTGGAAGGTTGGTGCTTAGGAAGAGGCCACCCCATACTTCATAGGCTGAGACATGTTTTTAGAGTGGCCATGATGGCACCATCCCGGGAATGAGCAGACATGAAGCTATTCTGGACAGCAGGATGCAATAGGACAGTCATTTGACAGGTCCTGGGGCTCTCTACCCTGGGAAATATCAGGATTCAGAGAGCTCCTGACCCCACCCCAGATTTCCAGGTGGAGGCTGAGGAGGACATCAAGTGTGAGACGAGGGGCATCTTGCAGGACCTGCTTCTGGCTCTGGCCAAGGTGAGGACTGGCCTGAAAGGAAGGGAGTTTCACTCCTCAGGTTGGGGGATGGGTGAGAGCAGGGAGGACTGCTGTTCTGTGATAGACAAGAGAAGACTTCAGGGACATCAGGGTCTGGCTTGTTGGTCTGAAGATAAAAAAAAGCTGTCCCTCAAAGAGTCTCCTCCTGAGCACAGTTTCTCCTTTTAGGGAGGCCGTGAGACCTACTCTGGGATCATTGACTACAATCTGACAGAACAGGATGTCCAGGTGAACAAGGGGCTTAGGAATTTGCCTAGCCATGTGCATACAACCCCTCCTCCACCATATCTTTGGGCTAGGGACTTGTGTACCCATCTGCCCTGCAAACCCATTTGTCTTGGAAAGGCGTGCCCTAGTGACATGGTGACTGAACACAGCACCTTAGACCTCTCAGTATGATAGCTAAGGCCTTTTGCCTCCTTCACCTCTGCCTTTGGAGCTCACAGAAAACAAGCTCATCAGCCGACAGTCTCCTCTCTGAGAGGACTTGGTGGGGGGAAGCCTCCCAAGACCCTGTCTTGGGTATTAGGCATTATTTAATTCTTTAGAGAATCAGGATTTTTCCAGATCAGGGAAGAGAGTTGAAAGGGCAAACCCCCTCTCTTAGCTCTGTTACTTTAAAAGAAAAAAAAAAAAAAAAGTCATAAATCAATCAACTAGCTTACAAGTTAAAGTCATTTTTTTCACCCTCAATCCCATTTCTATGATCATGATAATAGGTTCTGGGAACATAACCATGGCTGCCCAGGCCCCAACCAATGATTCTGATTCACTCCTTGCTGATTCCTCCCTCCCTCCCAGGCACTGCAGCAGGCTGAAGGACCTAGCACAAGGGAGCCATGGGTCCTAATCTTCACCCAGCGCAATCCTGAACACCTCATCCGAGGTACCCCCAGCTTGCTCTAATGATGAGTAGTGGCTGGGGAGGGCGGGAAAGGATCATCATTCTCTGTGGTAATTAATCTCCCTTCCCGCCAATTTATCTTATTCACTCCCTCCCACGCACGCCACAAGTATTTGATCAGTACCAGCAATGCGCTGGGCAAGAGTTGGAGGAAGCTATCCGGAACCTTTTCCATGGAGATGTCCAGGTGGCCTTGCTCAGCCTAGGTAGGGAAGGGCTCCCGATGTGTGGAGTAGGGTTCTCTCCTGGGGTGGGAAACTGTGGCCCTACTTGCAGCCCTCCATCTTTCTGTCTTTGCTTCCAGTCTCGGTGATCAGGAACACACCACTGTACTTTGCTGACAAACTTCACCAAGCCCTTCAGGTGAGAGGCACATTCCTTTTCTCTCCCTTTGGAACAAAACCTAGAGGGAGGGGAGGAGAATCTTCCAGGCTACTGCCTGGAACAATTTCATATGTATTTTATAAACCAATAGTAGCTCCCTTCCCCTGTGTTTACAAACTCTTGTCATAGGTAGAGGAGTGAGTCATGGTTAGAACTCAGTTGACCCATAAGAGAATTAAAGCTACAGTTTTGGCCTGGTTAAGGTCTAGGTGACCAAATACAGATTTGACTTTGCTTTTAAAACAGTGCATTGTCCAATGTCAGAGGTCACAGGTGATGATGATAACACTAGAAACACTGTTAATAAGAGCCAGCATTTCTCAGGTGCTCATTGTGTGCCAGGGCCTATCCTCAGTATGTTATATACATTTCAATTAATCCTCAAAACCATTCTCCATCCTTGTTTTATAGATGAAAAAACTGAGCAAGTCACACAGCTAGTAAATCATGCAGTTTTTCTATAAAACAATGATGCAGAACATGAACTGCCCGGTGTCAATTCCTCGTCAGCTGTACCATAAGTGCTCTTAGCACCCAGGGTCCCCTTTCTCTGCTGGTTAGATTTGTATCCATATTGTCCATCCTTATACTGGTGACCTTGGTTTGAGTAATTCCACCAATAGAATCCAACCAATCTGCTCAATGAACTCAGTCTCCTGTGAGAACTGCCCTCCAAACCTGCAAATCAAATTTTTCCCAGGTTAGAGGAAGTATAAAATGTGAAGAAGATGAGTTATTATTTTGGTAGATGAAATAGCTTTCTGTATACTAAGAAGCCATCATGGCTTGTTGGTGGCTATTCAAAAAGACAGTCTGTATAATCACTTGCTTTATCATCCAGAGATTTCCATCTTGACAACAGATTATTATAATTGACCAAGAAAGTCTGGATGATTATAATGAGTCAACACCAAGATTCATTTAAAGAGCTGTAGTTATCTGTCTAAATTCCTGTCATTAAAAACAAACTTACAGGCTGGGAGTGTAACTCAGTGGTAGAGCACTTGTTTAGTGCTCACAAGGCACACACACAAAAACAAATTTGTGTCATGGCCTTAAATCATTTTGTAGTGTATTGGGATTATAGGACCCAATTCTTGGATGTAAATGCCAGGTTTATCTTAGAAGTAGAAATTAGAAAATAATATAGGCTCATTTCTCCAAATTTATTTTTTTCTTTTTCTTTTGATATGACTGGGGTTTGAACTCAGGACTTTGTGCTTGCAAAACAGGCCCTCTGCAGTTTGATCCACCTCTAGTCCATTTTGCTCTGACTATTTTTGGAGATGGGGATCTTGAAAATACTTGCCTATGCTGACCTTGAACAGTGACCCTCAGGATCTCAGCCTTTCAAGTAGCTAGATTACAGGTATAAACCACTGGTACTGGGCATTTTTCTGAAATTTTTTTTTTCTTGGTGGCACTGGGGTTTGAACTCAGGGCCTCAGGCTTTTGCTAGGCACATGCTTTTACCACTTGAGCCACTCCACCAACCCTTCTTTGTGGTAGATTTTTTTGAGAAAACCTTGATCCTCTTGATCTCTGCCTCCCAAGTAGCTAGGATTACAGGCATGATCCACCAGTGCCTGGCCTGAATTTTTTTCTTTTTTCTTTTTTTTTTTTGTCAGCACTAAAGTTTGAACTCAGGGCCTTATGCTTGCTAGGCAGGTAATCTTACCTCTTAAGCCACTCCAGCAGCCTTTTTTTGTGTTAGGTATTTTCTAGATAGGGCCTTGAGAACTATTTGCCTGGGGCTGAAAAAAATTCAGGTTGGGTGCTGGTGGCTCACACCTGTAATCCTAGCTACACAGGAGGCAAAAAAAAGGCTGGTGGAGTGGCTCAAGTGATAAAGTGCCTGCCTAGCAAATGTGAGGCCCTGAGTTCAAATCCCAGTGCAGCAAAAGTAAATAAATAAATAAAGGAAAAATTCAGGATACTCTTGTACTATTCTTTTATGAGAGCCAGGTGGAGAGTATTTATTTAGAAAATAGATAGTGAAGAATATTTATTTAGAAAAATGACCTTCAGCAAAGGCTGATTTGGGACACACTGGGCCAATCTGAATGCTAAAATGAATGAATATCCTGGGGCACTAAGAGATGCCTAGTATATTCTCAAGTGTTAAGACTACAATTATACTTAACATAGTTTTGGTATAAAGAGTACTTGTACACCAATGAGAATATTCAGTTAATGAGAGACTCTTATCCTTGTTCTATAACCTTGGAGAGACAAGAATTGGAAGAAGGGAGCTGGGTGTGCTGACTAAAGCCTGTAATCCCAGCACTGGGGATTCTGAGGCAGGAGGAGCATGAGTTTAAGGTCATAGCAAGATTTGTCTCAAAAAACAAATTTGAAAGAAGGGAAGAATGAATAACTGGTAATCTTTATGACATTATAAAACTGACAATACGTGAAAGTTAAAATGAAGTAGAAATCAGGTGCACTGATAATTAAACAGTGAGTCCAAATAAACTAGAGTATCCTGTTTTTACTTCATCATCGTCTTTTTGGTTTCCTTTTCTCTTTTTTGGTACTGGGGGTGGAAATGAGGGTCTTGCCATTGAGCTACACACCCAGCCCCATCATTTCTTCTTTCTTTTATTTTTTTCCCTTTGGTAATTGAGGTTTGAACTCAGGGCCTTCACCTTGAGCCACTCCACCAGCCCTATTTTTTGTGTTGGGTTTCGAGATAGGGTCTCATGAACTACTTGCCTGGGCTGGCTTCCAACTGTGATCCTCCTGATCTCTGCCTCCTGAGTAGCTAGGATTACAGCTGTGAGCCACTGGGGCCCTGCTCTCTTTTGTTTCTTCATGGGAGTTTATGATCAGTTCAGGTGCCCTAAAGGTGGGTGGTAGGCAATTCTGGGAAGGTTCTCATGAGTCAAGTGACTCAGGAAACTCTAAAAACAGGATATTAGGAAATGATGACAGCACCAGTGCACAAAAAATAGGAAATTTGTCTGGGCATGATAGTACATGCCTGTAATCCCACCTACTCAGGAGGCATAGGTAGGAGGATTGTGGTCTGAGGACAGCCCGAGGCAACAACTTGAGACCCTATCCTAAAAATAACTAAAGCAGGCTTGTGAAGTGGCTCAAGTGGTAGAGTGCCTGCCTAGCAAGTGTGAGGCCCCTGAGTTCAAACCCCAGTAACACCACATATACACACACAAAATAACAACTAAAACAAAAAAAGGGCTGGAGAGTGGCTCAAGTGGTAAAGTGCCTAGCAAGCATGAGGCCCTGAGTTCAAACCCCAGTACTACCAATAAAAAGGTATTTCCAGTCAAAAAATTTTATATTTATGGACTGGGGGGTGTGGCTCAGGTGGTAGATGCCTAGCAAGCACAAACCCCAAAACCTTCAAAAAATTTCTTAATTTATAAATCTCTCATAACACATCATTTAGTATAATCAATTATAATTCATGATGTTGTGACTTATTATACTGATGTTTAGTCTAAACTGAACCCTCCATTACTTTCCTTAGCTAAAAGGCAGGAGACCTGGTGTGTGTATGGGAGGAGGAAAGAGATGAACCATCCAGGAGAAACAGATGTGTAGAAATGAGTATGTGAGATGACCCTGGTGCGTTAGGAGCAGAACCAGAAGCCACACAACCCTGATCCCTATCAGCACCCCATCAACTCACTTTGAGGGTAGGGTGTGTGTCCTCATTGGACAACTTGGAAGGTAAAAGTGAGCTTTATAGTTTTCATGCCGGGCAGTCTTTATAGGCTGCAGGTCTTTCCTAGCCTCTCACATACACCTGTCTTTGGAGCCACTGAACCCCTGACTTTTGGGGGCAGAGAGGGAAGGCTATAAGCTAGTGGTAGGACCAGAAAGACATGTGGAAGGACAAAGAGAAATATTCATCCCTGAATAGTGGTACATGCTTGTAATCCCAGCTACCTAGAAGGCTGAGGCAGGAGAATCACAAATTCAAGGCCAGCCCGGGCAACTTAGTGAGGTCATGTTTCAAAATAAAAGTAAATTTTAAAATGAGCTAGGGAAGTAGCTCAGTGGTAAAGCACTTGCCTAGTATGTGTAAGGCACCAAATTCAATCCCTAGTACTGCAAAAAGAAAGAAAGAAAAAAGGAAATATTCAAGTGACCCTCAGAATCTGATCTTTCCTGCTGTATCATCTTCCATAAGGATGGACAAAGCTGACTTGCCCTGAGATGATGTCTACTTCCCTTTTCCCTTGACTCCACCTCACCTCTACTTCCTATAATAGCCCTCCATGCCAATCAACGCCCATTTGTAGTGAGAACCATACTAACTATCTTCCCCCACCCCAATCTGTTTCTTCCTCTACCAGGAAACTGAGCCCAATTACCAAGCCCTCATGCGTATCCTTATTTCCCGAAGTGAGACTGACCTTCTAAGCATCAGAGCTGAGTTCAAGAAGAAATTTGGGAAGTCTCTCTATTCTTCTCTTCAGGTAAAACTTGGCTAATTCTTAGTCTGCAGCCCCAGGGTCTCACTCCTCCTCTCCATCCACCTTTCCTGCCCACAGCTGAGCACCTTCTGATACACAGAGGAGCTCGGGTGGTGAGGGTCCTTGTTCCGCTCTTAGATGGAAATCAAAGGCTTAGAAGTTTTATTTGTAGAGAAGAGAAAGGAAAAGCTGCAGGGGTCATGCAGCCGGATCCAGAAACCAGTGGTCAGGTTAGAAATCGGGTTTTACAGCTTTTTTTGTTGGCTGAGGGCGGAGGTGTCTCTCTGGCCTGAACAGATGTTTCTTGGGAAGGAGAAGTATCTCCCTGGCTAATTGTCACCTTTTGGGAACACGTGGACCTCCTGCAGTCCTCCCTTCAATTCTTGCTATAAGAACTCATAAACGCTTGGTTGAGTGTAGGACTCCAAACACCAGGGAAGATCCTTACCTCAGGACCTCACAAGGGAGGGGTTAGAATGCTTGGACCATGGTGGTGGAAGGTCTTTCAAACACTGACTCCCTTGCCTACAGGATGCAGTGAAAGGGGATTGCCGGTCAGCCCTACTGGCCCTGTGCAGAGCTGAAGACATTTGAGAGCTTCTGGTCCCCTTGCCCCCACGTGACATTCAAGTATCTGAGAGGCACATGTTTGGCGGAGCCTGCTGGAGACCATCTGAGCCTTCAAATAGGATATCCCTCATGGAGTACCACATACCCCAGCTTCATTGAGGCTGGAATTCTACATTTCTTTTAAATCCCTTAATTCCCTTCATCTCAAAATTATGTCCATACCTGGGTCCTCTAGCTCTGTGTTGGCATAGGATAATGGGATCTCTTTGATAATGTCTGTTCCATTAATCCATCCTGTACCCTGGCCAGAACATCTCACTTGAATTCTTTGGCAAACTTAACTGGTTTATGTTCCCTGATTGAAGTTTGGGTGGAGCAGGACAAAGACCAGGAAGAGGTCTAGGAGTTAGAGGACCCTTTGATATACCCTTGGCTATTCAACAGGAATCCTGTTTTTGCCCCAGTGGTGTCTTATCAACACACCCCACCCTCTGTGTCTCCCCTCACCCTCATTATTCTTTCTTCTCCAGAAAATTTCCAGCAACATAATTGAGGAACAGGCAGCAGAGGTAGCAAAGGACCATCTATATAAACAGAAGAAAAATGAGGGTCAACTGCCCTCCCTAGCCTGGAAAGTCTTGGGGTAATTTCCCAAATTCACAACTCCCAAATTCATCTGTCCAAAGCAGGAATTTGGAAACCTGCGCTCTCAGAGCACTACTTCCTGTTCCCATAGCACACCTAACCAAAAACAAACAAGAGAAGAAAAGGCAAACTTTGGTTCCCCCTGCTGGCTTTATTAGAAATGACAGGCAACGTCTTACCTCACCTCTCCTCCCCCTCTTTTGCATTCCTCAATTGGGTCAAATATTTAACCTCACTGCTGCAGGGTAAGAAAAACAACAGATCTCAGGAAAGAAGTTTTATTTCCAAATCTCGAGGAAGGCATTACAAATAATAGAGATAGAAATCCAAATCAAACCCTGAAACAAATGGGGGCAGGCCTGCTGGGTAGCCAGGAGCACCCAGGCAGTCAGGGGTAGGAAGTGGGAGAGATGCATTCCAGATAGGGGTCTTTCCCTAGAGCATGAGTCTGTACATTCATGTGACTATTCTGAGAAAGGAAGTTAGGAACCATGAATCTTCACCCCACCCTTCCCAGTGTTGCCCTGGATAGGAGGAAGAGAAGGCAGCAGCACTTGAGGGCAGGACATTATGGAGTCTGACCATGGCATTTGCTGCCTGTTCTGACCCCCAACAGTCTATAAATAAGTTACCCTGCATGTTTCAGGGGTTAAGGTGAGGGAGCAAGCAAACTAGTCCTAGCCTCTGAAGGAAGGGGCAGGTCTGCGTGGCATGGGGAAGAGCTACAGAAGAATACAATCTGATTCTGGCTTTGACCTCGGCCGCCGCTCCCCGGCTGGGCGTCCAGATGTGGTTCCTCTCCCCTGTATGAGATTTAATAATTGGTCATCTAAAAACCTCGGAAGAACACAAGGAAGGAGGTCAGCATCAGGAGAAGGGACCCCAGGGATACTTGGCAGAGATCAGTGCAAGAATAACATGTATTGTGGACCAGGCAAAGCCGGTACTGAGAGAAAGAGCATAGCAGGCTCACCTGGGGTGATGGGGCCCGTGTTTGCACAGGCTGGACTGCTTGCCGCTGTTGATACTCCTCTTGCTGAAGTTGCTGGGCCAATTCCAGGTCACTAAGGCCCAGCGTGCCTTGTGGCTGCTGCTGCTGTAGGAACAAGGCGATCAGATAGTCCTAGAGAGAACAAGAGTCACAGGTAGGCTAAGGCCTGTTGGGATGAAAGATTCAGGCTTGATTTCCAAACCAGGTTTTCCTTCAAATTCACTAGCCCATCTCTCTCCAGAGCAAAATACACAGCTAAGTGCGTTATCTGCAATGCCAGAAAATACACACCAAGCAAGGAGATGGTCCACAGGTAACAGAGAGCTAAGGGGTGTGGGTTTTAGATGTCATGGCCTCTAGATGACAAAATGTATTTAGCTCACTTATGGCAAAAAATTCTCTGAGGCAAATGAGCTCTCTGCACTTTTCCCAAAGGCCCCACATACCTGGTCTACCTGAAGCTGCTTCTCTGGAGAGTCACTCCCACCTTCTGCTCCAGGGCCCTTGCCCAGGGAATGACTTAAATGGAAGTCAGAGTCACAAAAGCAGCTATCTCCATCCACATTGTGCAGGCTCTCCCACACAACCTGCTCCTCCTGTAGAAAACCCTGGTCAGTGACCAGTAAGTACAAGTGACTCTGCAAAGAAAAGGACAGAACCAATTGGTGGGACAGGTAGTGTGGAGGCAGTTTACTGCCTGAGATCAGCTGAGATGCAGTTAGAGACCTTTTTAAATCAACTGGTATGCTGGCTGGAACCTATCAGTGCAAACATGTGCAACTTTAAGAAGAGGTGTGGCTGCGAAGAAAGGGAAGGGATCTGAGTATGGTGGTTATTTTGGTCCAGTGTGGAGTCCTCAGGGCTGGGGACCCAAGATCCTGCTTCCCACCCTGTCCCCCCTGGTCTTTGGGCTCACTTGATCGCTACGGAATTAAACCCTTTGAGAACAAGCAACTCCTCCCCCTTCTATTTACTCAATTCCTAGCGGGCTTTGGCAATTTCTAACTCTGGAAGACTGTAGTGTAGTTCAAAAATTTCCACTGCCCCTCTCTGGGAGAGGATTAGACTCTCCTGTCCCACTAATGGCAGGCTTATTCCTTATGGCTTGCTTTGGCCAGTTATATTGTGAGCAAAAACAACCTATGTCATTTCCAGGCAGAAGTATCAAGAGTGAGTGCACAGTGTGCTCTTCTCTTTTCCCACATATATTCCAGATAGAGGCTCTATTGTCAGTCTGGGTCCCAGAGTGAAGATGGTGTGGGACAGGATGTAGCCAGTTGCCAATGGATGTGCAGCAGGAGTGATAAACACTTGTGGTAAACCACAAGGATTTTAGGGGTCATTTGTTACCATGGGCTTAGTTCACCTTACCCTGTCTAAAACACTGACCAGGAGAAAAGGGCATGGGAAAATGACAGCACTCCAACCCCCCAACCTCCACACTCCCCTCACCTTGTGCTTAGTCATAGTGCTAAAGTGGTTGTTTCGGAAAAAGACACTAAGTTCACCCTCCTTGGCAGCTGCCGTAAGCTCACACAGGCCATGGTAGGTCAGCTGTGCTGCGGTGGTCTCCAGGAACTGCTCTGCGATCAGGCCTGCCAGAAAGCACAAGGTGGGGACGCTTGGCTTAAATCCAAAGTCCATGATAGGAAAAAACAAAAAGGCTGAGAGTGTAGATCACTTGCCTAGCATGTGAGAGGCTCTGGGTTTGATCCCCAGCAACACGGAAAGACAAACAAAACAAAGTCCCTTATAGGGAGGATCGCCCAAAGAGCCCTGTCAGAAGTCCTCTTGAGTCCTACCTTCTGAAATCATTTCCTTAGGGTTATAGTTCAGTGGGAAAGTATGTGCTTAGTGCTGCTAAACCCTTGGTTCAATCCCTGGCACCACACACACCCTATCTTGAAAATACCCAACGCAAAAAAGGTCTGGCAGAGTGGCTCAAGTGGAAGAGCACTTGCCTAGCAAGCATGAGGCCCTGAATTCAAACCCTAGTACTACAAAAAAAAAAAATTTATTTTAAAGGCAAAAGAACAAAAAAGCCAGGAGGCTGAGATCAGAAGGATTGTGATTTGAGGCCAACCTGGGCAAAAAAGTTTTGCAAGACTCCATCTCAAGGGAAAAAAGCTGAGTATGGTGGTGTGCACCTATCATCCCAGTGAAGTCAGGAAACATAAAAAGTGAGATCCCATTTCCAAAATCAATAACCAGAACAAAAAGGGCTGGAGGCGTAGCTCAAACAGTAGAACACCTGCCTAACAAGTGCAAAGCTATGGATTCAAACCCCAATACTGAAAAAATGAAAAATAACCACCATAACAAAAAACAAACCACAAAACCTTATTGAGCAGCTATCTTGTGCCAGACACTACACTAGGCACAGATGTGGAGGGGGTTGGAAGGGTGAGTGGGATACATAAGGGAATTATGTATCAGAATTCATTCAGACAAATTCCTCAAGCCCATTCTTGTGGAGCTTATATTCTAGTCAGAAGTGGTGGCAGATGACAGTCAATAAATAATAAACCTCCCCATGTGGGAGGAGGGGAATCACCTTCTGTCACAAGGTTGGGGTCACTGGAATGTTTGCAGGTGATAATCTTCTCTACCAGCTGGTTGTAACTCAGTTTCCCAACTGCACTCGCAGCCTCAGGACTCTGGAGAGTAGGATGGGGTGGGACAAAAATAAATTACATGTCTTGGGGCTGAGGGTGTCTCTCAAGTGGTAGACCACCTGCCTAGCAAGTGTGAGGCCCTGTGTTCAAACCCCAGTCCCACCAAAAAGAAAAAAAAGCATTTCTTTAAGGAAGGAAATGAACCAAGCCCACAGAATTGCAACCCTATGATCAAAGGTTCCTGAATGTTTGATCTCTAAGGACTGATTCTACTTGCATATGGTTTGTTTGTTATTAAAATGCTACCCAACAAAACATTAATATTCAAGGAATTCTGTACTCCTGTTTCCAAACCCTATTCTTCGTCCAAGTCAAACTAGCTCTTATCCCTAACCTCTACTCACATCAGCTTGAACTGCTGAAGAGACTCATTAGGCTATCCACCCTCACCTGTGGATCAACAAGCCAGCCATGGTACAGAGGTATGCCTAGGAGGTCAAAGACGCTGCATTCAGGTGTATACTCAAAATCAGAGACGCCTGTGAATCGCACATTGACATCCAGACCTGTGGCCAGTTTAGGCAGCACTGTCATCGCATCATCCACATTCTGGGGGCAGAAAAGAACATGAACAGTCTAGCCTCCTCTCCCACCACTACACTCCCACCAGCAGAAATAAAGCAACATTAATCTTGTTGCTTTTCTTCCCTGGCTCTCTTATAAGATATTCCATTCCTCCCTTGCCTCAACCCTTCTTTATCTTACATAAATAAACATATTTTCCAGGACAGAGATATGCCATTCTCCTGAAAAAGAAATCATGGTTCAAGAAACCCCGTGCAAGCTGGGCACCAGTGGCTCATGCCTGTAATCCTAGCTACTCAGGAGGCAGAGATCAGGAGGATTGAGGTTTGAAGCCAGCCCTGGCAAATAGTTCAAGAGACCCTATCTCAAAAAAACTCATCACAAAAAAGGGATGGTGGAGTGCCTCAAGGTGTAGGCCTTGAGTTCAAGCCCCAGTACCAAGGGAAAAAAAAGGAAACCCTGTGAAGAACCCACAAAGACTTCTCTCAATAGCTCCTGTGTGCCCTTACAAACCTGTGTCTGCAGAGCTCTTGCCTTACCTGCTGAAAATTAAGCTGAAGTCCCTCAGACTTCTCCTGGGGCTTGATGGACAGGAGGCAGTTTCCTACAAGACAGAATCCCCTATCAGCCTACCCTTCCAGTCATTCCAAAAGCTCAATTTCCTCTTCTGGAGAATGAGGGCAATATCACAGGACTGCAGATTTTCAGAGCTGGAAAGGACCTTAGAGTCTAATGTAGAACCTTCATTTCTCAGATGAAGAAACAGGCTTTTAAGGTGAAGGGCCCACCCAGTTTAGAGTTAAGGGCAGAGATCGGGGGCATAGCTCAGTCAGTGGTAGAGTGCTGGCCTAGAATGCTCAAGACCCTAGATTCTATCCTCAGCACTGCAAAAAATAAATGGCTGGGTGCCAGTGGCTTACACCTGTAATCCTAGCTAATCAGGGGGCAGAGATCAGGAGGATCACAGTTAAAAGCCAGCCCTGGTAAATAGTTCGTGAGACCCTATCTTGAAAATCCCCAAAACAAAAAAAGGACTGGTGGAGTGGCTGAGTGCCTGACTAGCAAGCATGAGGCCCTGAGTTCAAACCCCAATACCAAAAACCAAGACAAAACCAAAAATAAACAAAAAACAAAGCTAAGGGCAGAACTGGTGCCCTAACTCAGGATCCCTGACAAATTTGACCTTCACTTTTCACTCTTCAGCCTTGCAGAGAAGCCCCAGTGACCCTTACCCTCCCTGCCACATCAGAGCCCCAATCAGGGATCCCTCCATAGTCCAGATTTCCAGCTGAGTGAATAACTTTGGAACCCCTTGGAGAATTCATCTTCAAGGCACAGGCACTCACCAAGATGGGCCATGAGCTCATCTGAAGTAATCACTTCCTTCTGGGGGGGCAGCTTCACCTGGAGGTAGAAACAGTGATCATGTTAGTGCTCTCCCTCCCAGAGCACAAAGGAGGAACCCAGAGAAAGATAGAGGTCTGATGTTAGAGTGGGGTGAGAGAAAAAGACTTAAAACTGGGGCAAGGGAATGAAAGGGAAATACCGCAAGGCATTCCCAATTGTTAGAGAACAGGAGAGACAAGAGTAAGACACAGAATAAGCTGGAAAGTTTTTGCTGGTTTGAGCAAATCAGGATGATCAAGAAGGGAGACTGGTGAAGAGTACACCTGGATATTTCCTGAGCTCCAGTTTGGACTCTTTCTTACCTTCCACTGAAGAAAGAGGATGTTCATGATGGCAAGGAGAGGGCAAGGGCCATTGGTGCTCTGGGTGATGATGGGGGTCCGTTCTCCCTTCCAGGGGATCCACTTTACACAGTAGAAGTCTACCTCAGACTCTCGGTTCCTGGGGGACTGGGGAAGCTCCTGAGGCCTGGAGCACGCTCTTATTGTCTCTACCTCAGGTGACATCCCACAGGCTGGCCCAGGTTGACTTGGGCTAGCTTCAGGAGGAGGGGTCTCAAGATTATCTCCTCCCTGGGCAGGTAGTAAAGCTTGGTCTCCTGGCTCCTGTCCTCCAGCTTCCCCATCAGCATCTCTGGCATCCTTGTCCTGAGGATGTTCCTCTGGTCCTGATATCACCTCATGATTTTCAGAGGTGACTGCTTCTGCATTCCCGACCTTATTGGGGGCTGCAGGCTCAGACTGAGGGTGTTCCATGGTGGGAAGGGAGTCAACTGGGGACAATGACGATGTTTCTGACCTCAGGGATTTGCCTAGGCCAGTCGTACTATGCAAAAGAGAAACTTGTCCAATAAAATCATTGAACTGGGAAGCAAAGGGACTCAGAAAAGTCTTAGAAATGCATGTGATATGGAAGGCTGGCGAGTGTCTGCACAGTCAGTTCTGGCTATGAGGAGAACACGCCTTTCTTAGCTTGTGTAAACAGGACTCAGCCTGAGCTCTTTCTACCTCTAACTTGCTGTGACCAGATGGGACTAGCAGGACTGGAGCTTCCAGGTTTGAGAGGGATGATGATGGTGGTATTGAAGACATTGGGTGGAGTCAGCTTTCCTGAAACAGAGAATAAAGAAAAGATAGAGAGAAAGGAAGAGTGCAAAGGAGAATAACAGAAAGAAAAGAGACAATGAAAGAAATGTTGAAATGCAGACTGGGGATATAGCTCAGTGTTAAGAGTGCTTGCTTAGCATGTGCAAGGCCCTAGGTTCAATCCCTAGCCTTGGGGAAAAAATGCCTAAGAAACAAAAACAAAATTTCCTAATGGTTATTAATATAATGAACTTTTGCTTGCTTTGTAAAAGGCATCCATCAGTAATCCACACCACAGGCAGAAGGATAATTCCTCTGCCCAAACCAAACCCCTCCCCTTCACAGAATATCCTGAGCACACACAGGCTGCTGGTTTCCTTAGGGATACCCTCTCCCTGTCTCACCCCCAGGGTTGAAAAGATTACTCATCACATAGTTCTTGGGTGGAGGACTGGAGGTGTGGCTGAAGTGGTAGAGCACCTGCTTTGCAAGCCCAAAGTCCTGTGTTCAAACCCCAGTCCTACCAAAAAACAAAACAAAACCCAAACATAGTTCTTGGATGGAGTGGAGAGGCAAAGAGACAGTATCAGGCTTCTAAATGTGCCAAGGACTTGGCTGAACCTTACACAATTTCAAAGCACAGCCTAAAGGTCATGGGAGGGGCTTCCTGTAGACTGGAGAGGGGAAATGTAGGTCATAGGGGCTTGAATCACAGAGTGGTTTTGATAAGTAACTTCAGATTAGGGACACAAAACCACTCCCCACAAATTCTTCTAGTAAGCTTCTCTTGACAGCTGGAATTGAGACAAGTTCTCCTCAGTTCTTTGTTCCCCAAACTGCCTAAACACAGAGTTACTCTTTTGCCTACTATTTACATGGAATATGAAAATGCTGATTGTTAATTTACACTAAAAACACTCCTACCGGGCACTGGTGGCTCACGCCTATAATCCTAGCTACTCAGGAGGCAGAGATCAGGAGGATCTAGGTTTGAAGCCTGCCCTGACAAACAGTTCGAGAAACCCTGTATCGAAAAAACTCATCACGAAAAAGGGATGGTGGAGGGGCTCAAGGTGTAGGCCCTGAGTTAAACCCCAGTACCACAAAAACAAAAAAACAAAACAAAAAACACTCCCATCTGCATTCACCTACCCATTTTTTTTTCTTTTCACCTACCCGTTCTTTATATTTGGTCCCATCTATGTCATTTTTGCTATCTCTTTTTATTTCATTATTTATTTTTGTTTTGTTTTCCTTTTTTCAAAATTTTAATCTAGACTAGTCTAGATATGAACATTGGACCTGTTTGAACTGTCTTCTATCAGCACTAAACATCGAGTCAGGCACAGAGACATTTAATCAACACTGTGGACAGTAAACCTCTGCCCTCTGGAAAATGCTTCCTTAACTCTCCTTGCTACCCTCCGTGCTCTTTCATCAGGATGAAAAGTGGGGAGAGGGCTGGGGATGTAGCTAAGTGGTGAAGAGCTTGCCTAACATGCAAAAGGCCCTGGGTTCTATCCCCAGCACCACAAAAAAGGGGGGGAGGGAGTGGGAGAAATTAAACCAGTTAGAAATCATCTTTTTTTCTCCAGCCTCCTCCTCACCTGATATTATGCCTTCTTCTTGTAAACCTGCAGGAATTTGGGGCTGGGGGAAGAAAAGCCTGGGAGATAAGCTGAAATAAAATAAGCCTAGTCACCCAAATTGATCATCCTCCTGATTCAGATATAATTTATGCTAGCTGCATTTCATTTACATGTTGTTAATTTAGAATCAGAATAGCAAAAATTGCCTGCAGGGCTTACACTTTTTTCTTTCTCTGTTTTCCTCTCCTTTCTTCCTCGCCTCTCACATGGCACTGAGGGTGAGCCTTGAAGGAGATGCCAGAGCCTGGGAAAGTTAAAAAAGCTTGTAGAGCAGGACTCATTTTCTGCCCTGTGTTAGAAATGATCAATAATTTAGTGGGGGTTGGGAAGCTAACTGGCCAGAGGGATGAGCCAGAAGAAACCAGGAGCTTGACACCCTCAAGGGAGTGGAGTCTTAGAGAAACTGGGCAGAGCTAAATGGGTTGTTTTAAGAGGCAGGAGGAGAAGAGTATTGGGGGTTTCCACCCAACAAGGCATACTCCTGGGAGGTGTATTACAGAGTAGGAAAGGAGGGGGAGGGTGGGTACTCACACAAATCAGGATGTCATTCTTTTCCTTTTCTTTCTCAGCTCAAGTCCTACACTTCCTGTCCAGTTTGGATTACCCTTTGGTGGCAGGTGAGGGAGTTAAAACAGCCCCAGCACCTCCCTAGTTAGTGGCAGAAAATAGTCCCAGAGTGGAAGTAGCATATAAAATAACTGTGTATATAGCTTCAAGAAGACATTCCCCCATACCCAGAAGCCTTCCTCAACCAAGTCCCTACTGTCCCACGCCAATCTTCTTCTCAGTCTGACCCAAATCTTCAAGCAACTCCATAGTTCAGCTGTCCCTCTGGAATAAGTCAACCACCACCATAGTGCACTGTCTACTTGCTCCCAAGGAGAGGGGGAGGGTTTGGTTAAAAGAAGGAAATAAGGGACCAAGCAGCATCTTTTTTACATGTTCCCCCTGCCTTAGCTGCTTTAAGGCGTTCAGAGACCACAAATGGGAGGATGGCAGGCGTCAACTCCCCCCAGCTGGAGGAGAAAAGGAGAGCTGCGGGTGGAAGAAGGGGTGAAGAAGATCGTTAAAACAAACTTTTACCTTAAAGAGGTGGGTGCAGTTCCAGGACTGAGAAGGAGGACTTAGCTCTGGCAGTTCGAAGGGGAAGGTGGGGACACGGAGGGGGCGCCGCCAGTGCCTTCCAGCTGTCAGCGCCAGAACATATACAGGTTGACACAGGTTTACAAGCGTGGCCCTTCTGGCTAAGTCGCGGCCACTTCCGGACTCACGCCCAGGACCAGGGGCACCGCAGCAGGGTGAGGGCAAGTCGAGGCGCAGCCCAGGTGCTCCCCGTGGCTCCGAGAGTCTTCAGGATTCCTGAGCGGCTGAGTCTCTGGCGTGCGCTCCAGGCCCTGACTACAAACTGGTTTTCAAAGGAAGTTTGTGGTTTTTCTTTTTTCTTCTTTCTTTCCTTCTCTCTCTCTTTTCCCATCGGGACAAAGGAAAATTAGTCAAGGACAAGCTGCCTGGAGGAGTCGGGGCCTGTCCAGTACTGGAGGATTTCCATTAGGGCCTTCTGACCTGGTCAGCAGCTTGATGAGCGGCAGAGAGGGAGAGAAACAAGAGAGAAAAACAACAGACCCTTTCTCTTCCCTCCGCTGGCGGCTGGAAGGGACGGAGCGCTTGTGCCTCTCTGGTGAGAATGGGGAAGAGCAAGCGCCCTTGCTGAGCAGGGAGGAGCAGGGCTGGACAGCAGCAGCTCGCTGGTGGCAGTCCCTTCTCTGTTCGTGCGGCAGGGTACAGCAGAACAAGAGGGGATCCAACTCTTCCCTTTGGTCGGGTTCTGTTTCCCCGTCAGGCCTCAGTTTCTCATCGGTTACCTCCTCTCAGCTTCCAGCTTGAAGAACAGAAAAAGCTGGTGTCGTGCTAGTGGTAGTAAATAAAGGGATAAATTAATAAATGAATAGTTGATGATGAAGGGGCTTGTTTATTTTTTTCCCCCAGTACTCTGCACTACCCTGGGACTGAAAAGTGGCAGTTAAGGGAAGTTGGAACCTAGCTGTACATTCTAAAGGATATTCCAAACAGCTGCCACAGGATGACATTTCAAGTGACTCTGAAAGCTGAAAAAGAAGTTGGAGCCATTAGGGAGTCAGAAAGCAAAAAGCCAGGGTTCCAACAGTCCAAGAATGAATAAGGAAATATTTGTGTATTTTGTTATAGGAAAAAAAACAAACCAAACAAACAAAAAACCCCAAGCACCAGAGATATAAAGAAGAACCAGGAGTTGGTGAGACTGTAGGTATTAAGTAAAGATGAAAGGTCAAAGATTAGGCATGGACAACCACAAAATTGGTAGCAATGCGTCAGTTTGGTAAAGGGAAGATCAAGAAAGGAAGATGGACAGCTGTTTTGCCGTGCTGTAATTTAAAATATCAACAGGTTGGGCGTGGTGGCTCACAGCTGTAATCCCAGTACTCAGGAGGCTGAGGCAGGAGGATCGTGCATTCGAGGCGAGTCTGGGCTAAGTAGCCACCGCGACCCGGTCCAAATAAATATAATGCTAACCTGATACTCGGTGTAATATATGGTTATACTTAGCCCGTCAGAGAGAAAGTTCAGATGAAACAAAAATGGGTTACTGTGACACATACATGTGTGTCAAAGCCCTCAGAAAATTCTGCTTGCAATTGTTGGGGTATTTCAGAACTTTTGTACTACGTTTCCCAAGATACCCTGCGCCACACACACCCCACCCTTGGCCTCCAGAGAGACGTCCCATGAGCCTCAGAGCACAGAACTCCGCCTCCGCCGCTGGGGGCGGGGCGACGTCGGACTTTCGGAGCGCGGGATGACGCACTTCCTCCCAGGGTCGGAGGCCGAATCGTTGTGTGGCGGGTTCGAGACCCGCCTCCTAACACGCCTGTAGTCCCTGTGTCCTGGGCGGGGTGTGTTCACAGGGTAACCGCTCCTCGACGAGGGGCGACGGCACACCCTGTGCTTCACTATGGAGGACTACCTGCAGGGTTGTCGAGCTGCTCTGCAGGTAACGGATCGGATCCCTGTCTTTGACTGTAAGGAACGGAGCATGATGGGGTCCGGGAAGGACGAAGATGTAGGCTCTGAGGAGCCTGGACCGTCTGTGTGGGAGGGGGCTTGGAGTCCAACAGGACTTGGGGCGATAGGAGCCGACAGCTAGTGTATAATCAGGACAGTGCTGCTCGGTCTCCCCGCTTTTGGTTCTGCCTTTGGGGTGTGCCCGAGAGCGGGGAGAGGATTTGGTCAGCGCGGTGCCCTGCGAGGTGTGCTTATCCCTTTCTCCCCGCCCCTCTGTCAGTGCTCGGTTTAGCCCGCTGGCCTCCAGGTGGACCGCCGGGTGTGGAGGGAACCTGGGTGCCCGGCTTTATTTCCGACGAATGGCGGTTTCTCTCTGGCGGGCGGAACGCTTTTCTAGATATTAGAGGTGGTCACAGCTTTCTACCTTAAATCTGTGTTTTTAAGCCAAACACACAGAGTACATCGGGCATATCTTATTAACCAACAACCTGTATTCCTTTGCTTCCAGATTTCTCCCTTGGACTTAACGCACACAAATGACATAAAAGTCCCCTCCCCTTTGTATAGGGATAACCACAAAGTGTGTTTGGAATCAAAACCGTAAGCATAGCTCCTGAATGCTTTGTAGCTTGTTTTTGGTGTTTTTTTGAGCTGGGTGGATTCATGCACACTTGGCTGACTGGTCATGCAGTATTAGTGTTATTCCCCAGTTAGCAGCAAAAAACCAGAGAGGCTTCGGGAGGCCACCTGGCCCTCCTACTTTTGAGTTACACTGCCCCTGAAGAAACCTAGACAGATAGCTTTAAAACATCTTAGCTGATCATAGTGGTGTACAGCTGTAATCCCAGTACTTGGGAGGTGAAGGCAGGAAGATTGGAGTTAGAAGCCAGACTGGGCTACAGAGCAAGACCCTGTTTAAAACAAACAAACAAAAAGCACTTAAACCTACAAATTCCATGGGCAAAAGATTCTGCTCTTTAACACTTCATTCCTACTGCAGAGACAGCTGCTGGGATAAATGACTATGCTAGAATTAAGGTGAGGTTCAATTTTAACACTAATTACACCAAAATTTTTCTTATGAAAAACATTTGGAGAAAGTTGTTTTAATACATAAGGCAATTTGGACCCAACCTTTTTTGAACTCAGGGCCTCATGCTTGCTAGGTAGGTGCTCTGCCACTTGAACTATGCCACTTGAACTACCCCCTTCCCTTTTATTTGCGGTAGAGTCTTCCTATGTAGCCCAGGCTGAACAGGAACTGGAGATTCTCCTGCCTCAGCCTCCCCAGTGGTGGGATTACTGGTGTGTCCTACCTCACCTGGTTATTGTTGATTGCACCACAGGGAACTCATTGGAGGACTAATGAGGTTTGAACTCAGGGCCTTCACCTTGAGCCACTCCACCAGCCCTTTTTTTGTGAGGGGTTTTTTGAGATAGGGTCTCGCAAACTATTTGCCCAGGCTGGCTTTGAACTGAGATCCTCCTGATCTCTGCCTCTTGGGTAGCTAGGATGACAGGCTAATGAGAGTTTTATGGTACCATTCTAAGTGCTAAACAGTGGAGTTTTTCCCCCATGACCCAAATAACTTTTCCATCATTTGGTAAAGAGCCCTTGGACCTAAAACTTCACCAAGAAGCATTTCTCTGCATGCATCTGCTTCCAGTATCCTCCACATCCTAACCCTTCAGGTAACAGTGTATCACTATGGCGTTATAAAGCTAGAAGACGACTTGATTTTTTTTCCAGTATTGCTGGTATCCTGACCTTTCCTTCTCTGTATTCATTCCCCAAAGACCAAAATCTATATTTTCTTTTCCAAGTTTGTGAACTTCTAAAGGTGAGATGGTGTCTTACAACCATCATCACACAGCCTCACTAAGGCTTGGAGAAAGGAGAAAATTTATACTCTAGGAATGTTGTCAGGGAAACTGGTGGCAGATGGTACCAGTGGAGGCCAACAATTTGATGCTTTTAATTGTAGGAGTAAATGCACATTGGGAAAAAGTTAAATACAAAAAGGATATGAAATTAAAAAGACACAGATTTTTTTCTTTCCACTCCATTCAATTTCCCAGAGTTCATGCTGTTATGTTTCGTGTGTAAAAACGAGACCAGATTTAGACTGAATATTAAGTCTGAATGTTTCTTTAAAATGAGTTTGTAACTTTTCAGGGAATTGTGAGTGCTTTTGCACAGGATAGAGACAGATGATAATCCAGTCAAGTCCTGTTGATACCACATTTTTAGCATGTGATACCAGAGAATTTTTTTTTTCAACCATACTAGGGTTTGAACTCAGGGTTTGGAGCTTGTAAGGTAGGTGCTCTACCACTTGAGCCACTCTGTCAGCCATAGAGAAATTTTCTATAGCAGGAAATCTTATTTAGCCAGGTGTGGTAGCTGATGTTTGTAATCCTAGCACTCTTAGGAGACTGAGGCAGGAGAATCAAAAGTTAGAGACCTGGGCTACAGGATGAAGGCAGGAGGGAGAGAGACAGAGACAGACAACTATTTAAATGTCTTCCTATTCACTGTGACTCATCTTTCACTTCTAGGAAGCTAGGAGGGAGAAACCTTAGTTCTGGCTGGGGCTGCATTCAAGCTGAAATATTCATTCAGGAACCAACTCTCCCCGACCCTTTGGATAGTGAATTGTGTACATGTCTCAGGCAGGAATTAGGAGTGGCTGGCTCTCCTTATATCAGTATCAGTCTCCATTTTCTCTGGGTTTTCTTGTCTCTGGCTCTTCATCTTTTTTTCTATCATTTTAGTTGTGAAAGGGGCTTCATTGTGACATTTCCATTTCCATATATGCTTACAATGTCTCAAGGCTCATCCCCACCATCATTCTCATTCACCCCCTTCCTGCCTTTTTTTTTTTTTTTTGTCTTTTCCCTCATTAACTATTTTGTGGAATAGTTATCAGACCATATTCAGCTTCAGAAGGGAAGTGGTTTTCTTTGTGAGCCCTAAACCCCCTTCTTGCTTCCCATGGAGACCACAAAGAAAACATCAGGATAAGTGTCATTTCAACTAGCAGGTTTTTTTTTTTTTTTTTTAGAAAAAAGTTTATATTTACTTGTGGCTCTCAGATGGTATTTCTTTCATTGACAGCTCAGGTTTCCTCATGTTACTAAGTATAGCTGTATTTTCCCTGAACTCTTCCTCTGATGGATAGAAAACAGTCTGTTTGTCCTGTGCTTTCAGATGGAGGGGGTGGGCTGAGGTTAAGAATTACACATATTTTGCCAGGCATGATGGCGCACGCCTGTAATTTTAGCACTCAGGAGAGTGAAGTAGGATTTTGAGTTCACCCCAGCCTGGGCTAAAAAAAAAAAAAAAAGAAGAAGCTGCGTGCTGTGGCTCAAGCCTGTAATCCTAGCTACTTGAAGGAATGCAATTCAAGGTCAGCCTGAGCAAAAAGTTCACAAGGCCCCCATTTCAACTAGTAAAAGCTGGGCATTGTGGTCCCTGCTTGTCATCTGAGCTACTCAGGAATCTTAAATAGAAGGGTCGCAGTCCAGGCCAGCCCAACCATAAAGCGAGATCCTATATTAAAAATAACCAAGCTGGGTGCTGGTGGCTCACGCCTATAATCCTAACTACTCAGGAGACAGAGATCAGGAGGATCGTGGTTCAAAGCCAGCCCCAGCAAATAGTTTGAGAGACCCTATCTCGAAAAAATCCATCACAAAAATGGGCTGGTGGAGTGGCTCAAGGTGTAGGCCCTAAGTTCAAACCCCAGTACTGCAATAATAATAATAATAATAATAATAATAATAGTAACCAAAGCAAAAAAGGTCAGGGTATGGCTGAAGTGGTAGAATACCTGCTTAGTAAGCACAAGGTCCTGAGTTGAACCCCCAACACTGCCTCCCTGCCCCCACAAAAAGAGTCACACATAGTTTTTGTAAATTGGGTCATAAACTCAGTTTTCCCAAAATAGTCTTAGTTATCTCAAGCATAATCATTAGGAATACCCTTTACTCTTAAGCTGTGGTAAGAATTAGGACATATATGATACTGAGCTCCTTAAGATAGAAGGTTGGTCTAAGAACAACTACTGCTGGAAGCTAGAGGTTTAGAAGAGGGTTGTTGTGACCTAGATGGTGAGGAAGCCTTCACAGAGAAGGGGGACTTACAGGTAGGAAAGGGATGAGCAGGGAACAGGAGAGGCAAAAAAAGAAGGAAATGCATCTTTACTATTTACAGAATAGGCACTTAAGTTCTATCTCATTTAGTCCTCATAACAATTTCCTGAGAATCATTAACAGTGTTAGTCTCATTTCTGCATAAGAGAGTGAGGCTTAGAGAAGCCAAAGTCCCACAGCAAGTAGTAAGTAGAGCTGGGATTCAACCAGAGTCTAATCTTTTCAAGTGGCAGTTCTGCTGCTTTCAGAGAACAAATAGTGCAAAGAAAGGGTAGAGCGGGGAATGTGCACATCATGGTGTGGGGGTGGTGAACAGTCCAGTCAGGCTGGGGTGGGTGCTGAGAAGGGAGGGGAAGGCTGCCACGCTCCAGAGTATTCTATTTGTATTCATTCCTTTGTTTGGAACTGGGGCTCGAACTTGGGGCTTCATGCTTGCAAAGTAGGTGCTCTACCACTTGAACCACACCTTAGTCCATTTTGCTCTGGTTATTTGGAGATGGGGTCTCTCAAACTATTTGCCTGGACTGGCCTCAAACTGCAATCCTCCTGATCACAGCCTTCCCAGTAGCTAGGATTACAGGTATGAGCCACCAGTGCCTGGCCTTGTATTCCTTCCTTTTGTTTGCAGTTTTTATTTGGGCTTGGCTTAGCAAAAGGGGTTAGTCATTCACCTTGCTCAGAAAACATTTCTTCTCACCTCAGAGCTATGAAATTGTATTTGATCCCTGCTTTCTGTTTATCTTTGCCTTCTTTCCATGCTGGGATCTGACTGATCCTGATTAAGCTGCCTGTTGCAGTGAAGCAGCACTATTACAAACGGATTTTGGAAAGGTT